CTTTTGTCGGTGACTATCAAATACAAGTATAAATGCCCACACATGTGTTTACACATGATATTCGATTAATATTTAGTGAAAAATTTATCTATCCTTACCAATCGATTTTTTTCTTCTCTCTCTCTGTCTCTCTCTGTCTCTCTCTCTCTCTCTTTTTTTTTCTCTCACCTTGTCGAATTATTATAATATTTATTTGTACATAATTTTTTTGACGCTAAATGTATAAATCGGTATTTCTTCATTGAATATTGAAGTAGTCAAGCGTTACATTACTCTATTTCATTATTTTGATAGTCTGAACGGTATTGGTAATCGGTTTATAAAGACTAATACTTTTAATACTGTAGAAATCTTCTGCAAAAAGCTTAAGATTATCCACATTTTTACAAGAAATTTGCATTTCAAAACATTCTTTTTTTTAGTGTACAAATGGCTGAAAATCGATTTCACATCAAATAAAATCGCTCTCAAAAACTTAGAACAGAATAATATTCATAGCGAAAGTACAGAAATGGTTTATCTCTTCGAGTCTAGGTTTTCATTAATTGTAGCACTAATCCTAAGGAGCATTTTTTTTTTACGAGAAGTATGTGATGATTTTGACTTCTGAGTGACCACTATTCATATTTATTTCTAATTTCATTCAAATAGAATTGGGAAACAACGAAAAAGAAAATAAATTGAAAATATATTTATATTTACTCTAGTTAATTAAGAATGACAAAGGATAGATGGATCATCTAAGTCAGACTAAAAGATTTCTAAAGAAAAACAAAATTTTTGTAACAAAATTAGAACACGAGAGTTTCTGTACTCAAACAGAATATAGTTATCAATTTTATAAATATACATTAAATAATTATTAAAGTAAGTTTCATGTGATTATAAAATTTGTAATATAAGACAAATTTTCAATTTTAAGAATGAATTTAAACATTTGGAAAATTTAGTTAGATAAATCATTAACTCTAAATTCTTTACAGAAAAACTTAAAAACAAGTAATTCTTTCATTCGCCGAAAATTGAGAGGATTTTCTTTTAGGTTTTATAATTGTCCGTTCCCTCTACAAACATAGATATAATGATAACAAGAATGCTTGATTCTTCCGTTATTTCGTTGACGCGCATTCATACTAGGCATGATATCACTACCTAAAATTATGTAAAAAATTGGTTCATTTTCGAGAAATATTGTATGAGTAGAAATAAGAAAAAGCTATGTAGGATAATACACACAAAGTACTTGTGTATCATCCCGGAATTTTCGACTAGGTTTAATCATGCATAGCACACAAAAAAAAAGAAATAGGGATTTGAAGGTAACTTCATCGAATATTTTTTCTTAAGAATCCGAGGCTGGATGGATTCCTGACAATAACAAAAGAAGTTTGGCTAATGTATATTCATCTCTCTCTCTCTCTCTCTTTCATTTTCTATCTTAATATATAGTGAAAAGTAAGTGCAAAAGTGGCAAAAAAGAGGCGTTCATAGGAAAAGAGTGGTGTCATTACAAAAGAAAAAATATAATTCGGATTTAGCTAAATCGTTCGTTACTTTTTTTCTCATTTTTTCAAGCAACCATGAAGATCAAATAAAGAAAAAAATCGATTGGTAAGGATAGATAAATTTTTCACTAAATATTAATCGAATATCATGTGTAAACACATGTGTGGGCATTTATACTTGTATTTGATAGTCACCGACAAAAGAAAATCTTTTTTTATGTAAAAATCTTATTTTCATTAGCAATCTATACTTTCCTATTGATAATATATTGTACGGTCCCGTCAACGATACCTTTTAATACGGTAGTTTCTATGTAAGTATTTTTCTGTATAATAAATATATGGGATATAAATCTTTTCTATTGTCCTTCAAAAAAAAAGTATTGGCATCAAATAATGGTCACTCTTCTGAAAAATATTCTATACTAAATCATTTTTAGATATAGTTAAACATCATTATGTCTTACGTCCCAAGGCCATATGGAACTCGTGGAGTGGGGTATCGGTCAGCACGGTAAATAAAATAATTTACTTTTTAATATCTATATTTTCTTAAAAAAGTTAATTTTTTACATTTAGACCATTTTATGCACCAAGAGCTCCCTATACTCGGCCCTATTACGGCCGACCTATTGGTCCTATGGCTCCAGGAATGGGAGCAGGAGTCGGATCAGCGGCTGGATCAGGTGCACTTGCTGGGACATTGGGAGCCTTAGGTGGTACACTTGGTTGTCTGTTGTGTTTAGCTGCTATTGGAGCACTTGGTTTATTTGCAACTGTTATAGCAATAACAGCCTATGCAAGTAAGTAAACTGTTTGTTGTACAATTATGAATTTAAACACCATTTATACTACTTCTTCTTTCTTTTTCTTTTTTTTAAGAAAAACTTCTTGACGAATATAAAATAGTTAACAATCTAGACCAGAACAATAACAATGGGGTACCAAAATTAAATGTTGGAATCAATGTTTTGTTAGTAGCATCATTCTTTTACATCTTTGTTCGTCGAATGATGCACAGTGTCTAAGTTGAAAAATCTTAATTAAAAAAACAATAACGTACCTGTTCAGATATATATATTCATATTTTTGTACCTGTTATTCAAACACAAAATAAAACACAACGATGACAACAAAAATAAAAATACACACACACATATAAAAATGAACACCACTCTATTTATCATGAACAATAAATAGCACAATACAGTTGAAAAAAATTCAAAGCCTCTCTCAACATCAAAAATTGTTTTGTGCTTAAATATTCCTTTATTTAGAAAAGTGTTTTTTCTTTTTAATGAAATTTACTTATTTTTAACTTTTTTGATCTCCAGTGTCCTGATGCTTTTTTTATATAACTTTCACTTCGGTATACATATAAAAAAAAATTAATAAAATACATACGTTCATTGACGAAGAATTAGTTCAAAACTAAAACGCTAAAACAGGGATGGTATTATTCATAAATCTATATAAAGAAAAAATTTATCTTATTCTAATAATATAGTTTAGTATGAAGGAAATAACTCGTTAAAGTTTTTATACGATTGTTTTTCGACATATTTGTGCAAAAAGATCTCGGTCCTAGGTTGTATCAAAACATGATTTTCCTCTTCTTAGATGCTTTGCACATGACTAGAGTATCATAAACGATTTTCATGATACTCAACGTATGATATAAGATAGAAATCTAAACTAAACGAAATTTTTCTAACAAGGGAATTGTTCGAATTGTGTCATTCTCCGTTTTCAATGATATTGTGTGATAGATTGATAGAAGATAGTATCCTGATAAAAACTCTAAAAGAATTTACTCTCTCATTGCACTTCTTTCAAAAGTGATAAATTTTTTTGTTTGTTTATATCAGAAAACATCGTAACATGAAAATTTTTGTATCTCGGTAAAAACAGCGATTAAGAGCTCAATTTTTTATTTCTTAACGCTATTTGTGGTCTATCAATTTTCGAACTTTCAACTTGTCTACATACTGAGTTATTGAAGATTTTTTCTTGGTTAAAGAAAACAGAAAATCTGTATTCCGAATAGAAATTTGCACGGGTAAGATTATTCTGTCCATGACCCTATCGAGAGTACTTGTCTGTGGACGTTTTTCGCTCCTCGTGTTTGTCCGTGTCCGTGTCCGTGTAGATAAAAACATTTTCTCTTATGTATCATAGACGTTTTCTACTCTTTCTTATCTGTGGGTTTTTATCAACTGTCTTTATGTTATTTCGCACGAAATAAGAAAATATATTTCTTCCTATTTATTAGTCAAATAAAAGTGAAAGCGTCTACTGTTTTTTTCGCTAAATTTTATGACTCAAAAAATTTAAAATATTTTTCTGAAAAATCCGTGCACATCAAAGTGAGCAGTTGTCCGCTCGTGTCTGTTTGGAGTATACCTGTGTCTGTACTGCCCTTAATTCACTGTTTTTATCGAGATACAAAAATTTTCGTATTACGATGTTTCCTTTATATAAAAGCAAACAAAAAAAATTATCACTTTTGAAAGAAGTACTATGGGAGTAAATCCTTTTAGGGTTTTGATCAGAACACTATCCTCTATCAACCGACAAAATATCATTGAAAATGGATGGTGACATCTCGTAAGGATAAAAATGATGGTTTCTTTCGCAAAACTGGCATACAGAACAAACATTCTATATTAGGAACTGAAACAATTTGTAATTGCTCGAAAATATTTCATGCAAGTTCTTGAATAAATTCTTTTTTAAATAATCCTTTTTTTTTTCTCTTGAAGAAAAAATTGTCTTATCCATTATGCCTAATGTACTTTCTCACAATTCATAAATTGTATATCGTCATCGGTTGCCCAAATTTAAGTGATATTTGTATGGAACATTAATGTATATCTCTTTCCTGTTTATTAGTGAAATAACAAACTAAACACACTAACAAAATCAATTTCATAGAAAACAAACAAGTAAGTAGTAAATACAAGTTGATAAAAGAATACACGTAAAATTATATAAAAAAAAAATTTAATAAGTGAAGAGAATGTACATTTAGGAAAAAAATTTAAACGTGTGAAAGATTATTAAAGAAGAAAAATCACAAAATAAACTCTTCTTCATATCTGACTAGATGAGAAAGTTTTGTATCTTTCTCATCAACATAAGTATGTACATAGTTATATTAGCAACAAAAATCCTCTTCACAATCAGTGAGATTTATATATAAAGTCGAATAGAAAATAATATATAAATCAGTATAAACAAATCGAATATCATTAAAATGAAAAATATCTAAGTTATTTTAAATTAAATCATACATCGATCGTAAATTCTCCTACCAAATAGTATTACCAGCCCCGTTGCCAGGATATCAGTAAGAATAGGCATCTTCAAAACTTCGTCTTCACTAGTCTCAATGTTCATTCTAGATTTAGGTAAAGCAGAAATTCTTTTCTTGAACTATATCTGTACACCGCGTTTTTTGCATCTTACTGACGAGGGAGACTTTCACGTGTTACCATGAATTTTCTCGTAAACTAATTAATTAATTATCGATAGTTTCTGTTGCTGAACACAAATCTGACATCGGTTTGTCTCAATAGAATATTCAAATTCAGAATCTTTAGAAACCTATCACAAACTTTTGTCTAAACCGAGTCTGCTAGCACTAGATTATAGAGTATATGAAATTATCTATGTATACATCTATGTATACGTCGAGTTACAATTCTTTTCTCTGAAAGGAATCGTGATCATCCTTATTTTAGGTGAATCCATGAAATTTTTATAACTCGATGAAAACTTGTTCGAATATCTTGTATACATAGATAATTTCATATACTCTATAATCTAATACTAGCAGACTCTACTTAGACAAAAGTTTGTGATAAGTTTCTAAAAATTCTAAATTTGAAACACTCTATTGAGACAAAGCGATGTCAGACTTGTGCTCAGCAACAGAAACTATCAATAATTAATGAATTTAAAAGAAAAATCAAGGTAACACTTGGGAAACTTCCCTTGTGCATTATGTTTATTTTAAACTTTTGACATACTGTTCTATGCTAATAAAAAGGCAGAATACAAAATTCATCAAGCACATCTTCAATATACAACTGTTACGAATGTTATTGATGAATATGGATGAGAACAAAATTATTTCAGCAATTATCATCGGTACTACTTCATGAAGAATTCTGGTTAATTTTACTGTAGAAAATGATCGTCAACCGTTGCTACTATTACGGGTTTGATATTACTACCGTGAAATAAGACTACCAGTGAGAAAAGTAATAAGCTCCGACAATAATACCATTTCTAGTATCGATGAGCAGAAGGATTAGAGAAATATTTTGAGAGAGAAAAGATTTAAAGTAAATAAACATTTGATTGTTTGCAGCAGAACATTAGGACGTTATCTTCAAATAAGAAAAAAATTTCAACCTTCAGAGAACTGATCAGAGGTACACCATAATGAAATTTTAAGTTGCCTTTTTTGCCCACCTCCTGGCTCCGGTTCTAGTTACTCCACGGTCTGAGTAATTTGTAGCAAGTTTTCTGTTTGAACGGTGTCAACACTAGTAAATACGACTCTAGCGCCACCTTTATACGTTGCTAATATGTCACCCTATGAAAAAGTGAAAACAAATATTAGTAAGTTATGATTGATTTAAGTGTAAGTTATACACACATGATAAAGTGATACAACTGGATGGCCATCTTGTCCCAATGCTCGATGTTCCAGCGCATATTTACTTGCTTTGTGCAAATCGATGTTATTTATATCATCAACAATTTTTGGATCTGGTAGAAATGTTTTAAACCGCACATCTAAATAAACCAAAAGAGAAATATTAACAAGTGTTCAGTACAAATTGTGAATTTATTGCTTTACTACTGTGTACTTTTCAATCTTCGCGAACATGTTGGAAAATATCAAATGAACTTTAGAGAAAAGAAGCTGTCAAGCAAATAAATGAAAGATATGCGTTTAAAAAAGTGACATTCAATTTCCACTTACCTTCAATATTCACTCGTTCGTCGCCTTTTGATAAATGTTTAATCCACTTTTCTTCGCGCGTCGCTATATGAGATTCATGCATTTTCTTCAATGTTTTGGTAGACGAAGCTGTTCCCACAAATGAAAATGATGGTAGACCATCTAGACGAATGGATTGTGGTGGTGATTGCGATGTTTGTCGTGAAGTCTTACCAAGACGTAATAAATGACGATCAAGACTCAAAGAACGTGATGTATGTTGTTGTGGCGACTGTGGTGACTCTAGTTGTATTCGCGATGAAGAGTGTCTAGTTTCAGGAAATGCTTCTTCTATCAAAGAACGTCTACATGGACGTATTATTTCTGGAGCTGATGTGGAAGGTAATGGAGTAGGTAAAGGTGGAGGACGTCGAAGAAAACGTGTTGGTGAACGGCGATCAATACTACTTGAACGTAACTGATGATGTTGCTGTATCTGATCTTGTGATTGTGGCAGTAACGATGACGTGTGCAATTTATCGATATTTGCTTGTTCTTTGGCAGTTGTTTGTTGATCAATTGTAGCATAGATAGCTCGCGTATCGGAAGCAGTTGGTAATCGTGATGATGGTAGATAATTTTCGGGTGTAAAACGATCAGAAGGCTTTTTACGAAGAATACCGGGACCTGCTGGTATTTGACGACCAGATGCGAGCGTATTACCAGTCATTGTTTGAACATCTCGCTGATTTTGTGTGTTCAGAAATGATGGTGGTTGTTGACGCTCGTTACTTGATATTTGACCAGAAGAATTCGATGGTATTCGGAAAAATGGTCTTTTTCGGTCAAGTTGAGGACTACTGCTAGTGGATAATGGCAATCGACGATCAACACTTAATGAACGTTTTTGTTGATTTAATGATGTTCCTGTTGTTTGATCTCGTTTCTGTTGGACACTTGGAGATCTGCTGGAATAAAGCGTTTGTGCAGGTGAAACTCCATATTGTGTACGATGATTCCAAGATGCTCTTGGCGGTTTCTTTGGTACAGAAGATGAATTGCTCATCTCAATTGATTGTCCATATTTAACAGACGTACTCGGTGTTTGCGGATGTTCTATTGAATGTGTATGAAATTGACTCACACTGGATTTATCTGACGTCGGTACCATACGATTATTGCTACTGGCACTATTCAATTTTGTCGAAGTTCTTCTCACATAACCAACTTTTCGATTAGAACGCTGGTTTGTTTCAAAGGGCACAGCGTCCGAATTTCTATTTGTTCCCCTCTCTTTAATTCTGAAATAAATCAAATTATTTTCACAATATAACTGGTACTATGTCTATTACAACGTTAGTTTCTTATATGCTCTAGACAAAAGTGAACTTTATTGGAAAATAACGAGGTCAAACAAGACGAAACAATTTCAGGAAGTTGCAGATATGTATTAATAAAAACAAAATGTCAGAAAATATACACAAATAGGTTCGTATGTTCCAGTCTAAAGATCTAATCGATTTGAGTTCGAACTTGTAAATAGTGAAAAAAGATTTACTACTTACTCCTCATCAAAATTCTGACTAAACCATGAGGTCGCGCTACAAGGAGTAGTTGGATCATCTCGAATGGATTCTAAACAATCTCTTTCAAATACGGTGTCGGGAGACTGATGTAACAGTGCTCCATTTCTTTTTGGTGTTGGTGTGATAGGCGTTCTTGTTGTTTTGCTGAGTAATTCTGACTGGATATGGAGCATTTCTCTTATTGCACGTAATGTTTGAGCAAAAATTGCGTAATTTGGACATTTGCGTCGATGTGCAAGTTGATCATCACGCTACAAAATAAGATGGAAAAGATGAGAGAAAATACAGCGAGATAAACATAAAAAAACACTTACTTCTTCATACAAACGATTAAGTTCTTCTTCACATCCCCATATACGTTTCCATAAATCATTTACACGATTTCCCATTTTATTTTTATCAGTTTGTCCGTTATTATTTAAAAATTCCTGGTTTAAACGACGTAATTCACTAATATCATACAACGTTGTGGCTAATTCCTTACGCAGCGTATTTTCTCTTGTATGTAACTCCTATAAAATGGAACCTAGAAATGGGTAAACAGTATGCAATAAAAATTCTAATAAATTACCTGTACACGTTCACCATTTTCTTTACATCCTTTTTTTAATTTATTTAGCCATAAACTCAAATCACTTTCAGCTAATATCATATTTTTCAAATCATCGGTTTGACCATGGGCATCAGAATGTCGACTATCGAGTCTGCATAATGGTGTTAGTAAAGGAGAATTAATTTTAGTCGATTCTGATTTAGCATTATTCCAACCGCCAGAAGATGGTGGAGGGGTTAGTAACGGTAAAGAGGGTGCATTCTGTTTTACTGGTGCCACTCGATGTTGTGGTTGACGTTGCTTCTGTTTTTGCTCCCCTGTCGAAATGAATGCTGTCGTCGTTGTGACATATGTTCGTTGTTCGTCAATCTTTTCTTCCTGTCGATTAAGTTGTGGTCGAGCATTTAGAGACATGGCCCATCTCAGATCGTTCTAAGAAAAAAAGGAGCAATTTTATCACTGCAAACTCAAATAAAGTTTTTTACTTACTAAAGTAGACATGGCATCGTCTTCTGCTGCTGAGACGCAAACAAGTAGTTTAATAGCTGCTAATGAATGATCTTTTGAAAGAAGATTTTTAAGAAAATGATATAAATGATTTCGTTTAAATAAAATCTGTTCAAGCTAGCAAGAAAAATAAATACAATCTTTAGTAAAAGTAACATACAAATAAAAATAGAAAAGTCACAAAAATCCGTCAAAATTATGGCGAAAGCTATATAGCAATTATAATCAACGTAAAACTTGTTCGTATAATCGAATTTGAATCTGTAAAACGACCTCACGATTATTATTATTATTTTGTTCAGCATTTCCTCTAAACAACATCCGCAGACGTAATCTAGCAAACGACTAACAGAATCAGCCAATTCAGTTTTTCTTATTGCAACATACCTGCATATTGTGTTGTTTCGAATCAGGATTTCTTTCCATTAAACAATGTTTAAGAACCGAGAAATCTAGAAAAATCAAAGAAAACGACAGAATTTTATATTACCATCTAAACAACTTACCATCTGAGTTTTCATTATCATCACGCGTTGGAAGATCGATTATTGTCAATTGGCTTACAGTTGGTTTGCTAATCTAAATCAGAGAGAAACAAAGATATTCAATTTTTAATCATTTTTAAAAACTGTTACCGATGTGCTTTCAGTTTCTTTTGCCTGTACAAGACGAATTGTGTAGGCTCGAACTGGATACCGTTCATTAGCTGGTAATTTAGCAATATCACTGAATTGACGTCTGGCTGTCTTTAAATTATCAATTTCTTTCTCAACCGAATTATCGATTGTTAATAATTCGGTCGATCGTTCATTAACCTTTGTGGTTATTGTTTTCATTAGATCTGTCGACGATGTTGTTTCAATACAAGATAATAAAACAGCATAGACATTCTCTTCAATTAATCCAGAAACATTCGCTGTGTCATTTAATATGAGTGATCTAAAATTAGAAGGATAACAACCACTAATTTATGTTATAAGACAAATAATTTCATATAAATTTTACCTGTCGGTGATTGTTGTTATATTACCACCAACATCGTGCCGGATTTTTGGCAATAAATCTTTTGTTTGACGGTCAAGCATGGCTTCAGCATCGGTTTGTATACGAAATTCTGTGCCAACTTTCTTGAAATGCTAAAAAACATCGAAATCTCTCGTGAACACTTTTCCTGTGATTCCGTTTTCATTATTTAAACTCACGTATTTATTGGCTATTCGATCTTTAATTGAATTGTATAACGTATCAAGACTTAATGGAATAATACCTGGATTCGATTTTGTACCAAATAAGACATCACTTCTTCCTGCTTTTTTTCGTCCACTCACAATGAGAAGATCTAAAGAAATTAAATTAAATTTTTTAGTTTATAACCAAATTATTCGTTATGTACTTACTATTTTGACCACGAATTAAATCCGCTATAGAAGATTGTGTATAACGTTCAAATATAGCACGTAATGTATCCTCTTCGCCAAAGATTTTTGAAAATTTGAAATTTGCCTGAAATGAAACAATTTATATCTCGTCATGTTCTTTTATCAACAATGGTAAAAACATACTCCAGTATCGAGATTAGATCGACACTGATTTTCACTAACGAGTTTGATTGACTTTCGATGTTCATGGTTTCTCAATGGTAATATACGACAATACATCTAAACAAATATTCAAAATGGTATTTGAGAAAATCGTATTTCTCTGCGACTCGATATGTTTGTCAGTTCGGCTACTGTCGAAAAAAAGCTGTAATAGGCTTTTTTCAGAAAAGATGGAAAGATCTCTCCCCATCTTATAAGGGATAAATCCGTCGACTTAACTTTACGCACCAGCACCAAAATCATAGAGATTTTACAGAGTTCAACAACTCAGCGACGTATTTAGTTTAGAATTTTGACTTTTACAATTCTCGCTACTTTAGTTACAAAATATCAAACAAGAACGGTTTTCTACGGTTTTTTTCAATATTTTCAATTGAACATTTCTTTGGCAATTGCAGGTTGGGTGGTGATGTACATTTGGAGATATTTGTATTTTACTTACGCATCATGTAGTAGCGCCATTTATTACAGTTTTCTAGCTGTTTTTGCAGACATAAAAAAATAACTACGCTACTTGGCATTCAAACAACGAAGGCTTTTATTCGTGCTAAGCATTCTATCAAATTCTGCTCGACGGATATCGAAGAAATAACAGAAAATCTTTATATTTCTAGACTTGGCGATCCCTAGATTTGGATATAATACACACCCCATTCTTTCATAATAAATAGATAGTTTAAAATACTTCTTAATTAACGACTATGTACTTTTATGGGAAAGAAGAGAATAAAAAATTTATTTGAGAAAGCTGATTAAAATAGCTAGAATTAAAAATGTCGTAAATGACATTATTGTTGCTTTGTGAGTAAAATATAAAGATCTCAAAATGTGCATCAACATCCAATCTACAGGTGTCAAATTTAGACAGTATTAATCGCCGTGACTTTACCAGGATTCCAGTGAAGGATGGGTGAAATTATCCATTACTGAAAAAAATGTAGAAAAAGTCCTTGTTTGATACTTTTTAGTCAAAATATATATTTTTTAGCCAGAATTGTAGCAGTCGAATATCTAGATCGGAGAAATTCCACATAGTGTGTGGTTCTAAGCAAAACCAGTTTTCATTAAAATTTAAGCGAATAATAGTATAGTATCGTTACATTTTTAACAACAAGACCCTTTCAGATACAATTTTACAATAAATCATCAATTTCAGGTGTGTTGCTGCTTTGTTGGATTCTGTAAACCTCTTGGATTTTGATGTCTTTGTAAAATTGAAGATGGATTCATCTACATAACTACAACTTAGGTATAGCAGACCTTAGATTGTACCAACTTACCTCAAAACTCAAATGTTTTATCTTGTCTTCATCGGTATTTTGCCTTTCCATTTTTAGATAATAATGATAAAATTAACGTAATAAGATTATGTAAATCTTCTGTGTTGGCAAAATAAAATCCCAACCGTTCACAAGAAAGATATATATGCATAAAAATGTCTTTTGTTTTCCTCCTATATGAATAAAGATCATCTGAAATAACACGCATGCATGTGGTATATGAATCATTCGTGTATAGTTTCACATTTATTTGGCCTAGATATAACAACATAGTTAAACAAAGAAAAAAAAAGATCTTTTCCAATATTCTAACATCTATTGGCTTTCGTCAAACATAAATGTTAGCTGCTAACAAAAGATTTTTTCGAGAATGTGACATGGTACAAAAGTTGATAGATGTCATATAAACTTTTAAAATCGAAAAATATATTCATTGATCAATGTGTCGTATATATAGACATTAAAGACCGAATTTCGAGGTATGCAATGAATTCAGTCGTGCGTTCGTTCAACGAAGCTTAGTTGCACCTTAGGCATGAAACCTTCATTTCAAGTCATAAAAATGAGAATTTCTCCTGATCGAGTCACCGTGAAAGAAACTGCTATCGCAATACTATTTTTGAAACAAATGTAATATCAAATTCACTCACACACTGCTCCGAACGTAAGTAAAGAAGTAGAAAAAAGCTACATGACTAACACATAACAAATTTTACTAAGGACTAATCTTAATTGCAGCTCAGTTGTATTTTGGAATTTCAAAAATGTTGTTCCAGACTATTACTGAAAAACGGCAAAGTGAAAATCATTGATTGGTTCGTTCATGTTCATCATATATCGGCAAAATGAGCAAGTTTCTATTCAACTTGATCATTTTCCTGCTATCTAACACAAAGTAATACTCGCATTCACAACTTTTTAGCCTATTTTTCTAAACTCATTAATCAAAATATTCTTTGTTTCCTGTGTGTGTCTTTGATGATTAACTCTTAAATTAAATTAAATCTGGTACCAGTTTGATTCTTAACAGCTTCGTAACATTTGATTGGAAATTATAATGCACGTATTTAAGCATTCACGAATTCCAGGGTCAAATTTTAGAAAATTTATAGAATTAGCTCAGTCATACGAACAAGTGATTTTATTGTTGGAGACGAATGTCGTCCAGGCGCAAGGGGTCTGAGTAATCGTGTTCTTCGTGAATTTACTCCTGTAATCTCTTCTCCTTTTGCCAGTTTGATTAATAAATCTTTTTCTTCTAGCGTGTATCTCACATGGTGGAAATTAGGTAAACGTACTTTACAAAATTTACAAAACGAGAGATGTTCATTTAAAAACAAATTATCGGCCTATCACTCTATTGCCTGCTCTTTTTAAGGTCTGTGAATGTCTAGTACTTTATCAGGTTTATGGATATTTGTTAAGGAATGATCTACTCCGTTCTAATCAGTCTGGTTTTAGGATGAAACTATAAATCAGCTGCATGAAATCATCAACTACATCAACAAAGGAATGGATGATAATGGTTTTGTTCAAGGAATGTTTCTGGATACCAGTAAGGCTTTTGATTACCATGGATTGCTACATAAGCTTGAGAATTACAGTATAAAGGACCCATGTTATAGTGGTTCAAATCATATCTTTCAGATAGACGTATTATTACGGTAGTTTCAGGAGTTCTTGCAATAAGAAAATAAATGCGGGTGTGCCTCAAGAAGTAGTGTTAGATCCACTTCTGTTTTTGTTGTATATCAACGATATAGGTGACAATCTCGAGCATTTGTGTAACTTATATGCTGATGACACTTGTCTCGCTAACAACGGTCTCAATATTATGTCTTCTACAGATTCTCTAAATAGAGATTGACAACGGTCGTCTGAGCGGTCGGATACTTCATTACTTCTTCTCAATGTAAAAACATGCAAATCTATTCTGTTTACTAAAAGTCGTACCCTTGTATCACCGCCGCTAATTATAAATTATGTTTCCAAGTAGACGAAAAATATACTCAGAAATGATTCTCTATCGAGATATGACTTGGCTCAAACACATTGGCCGTTTAGTAGCGAAAGTGAATTGTCTTTTGAGTTTGATGTCGCTGAGTAAGTGGTTATTGAATAGACGTGATTTGACACAATTTATAAATCTTTTGTTCTTTCTATGTTAAACTATGGTGCGACGTTATATTCTTTAACCACTGACTATAATCTTCAGAAACTCGATCGTGTTCAGATAAGACCAGCCAAACTGATAGTCGGAGCAATAAGTAGAACTTCGACTAAGCTTGTTCTAAACGATCTACATTGGCTTCCCATAAGGATACATTTGTTACCGCTGCGTTTAACGTTGTTTTTTCGTGTTATTCGCGGCTTAACGCCTCAGTATACGCGTGATCATACTCAACTCTCTGTTAATCATACAACTTATCAGTTGAAGGTTGGTAAGCATAAGCAGTATACAATTCGGAATTTAACAAGTAGAGTATTAAGTAACAGGTTTTTTGTAAAAATGCCTATGGAATGGAACGAAATTTCAGCTGACATTCGTGTCATTGCTAAGCTAAAGAGAAACTCAATATTCGTTTACACACTTTATGCTCATCCCATGGTTTAAGATCTTGTTTGCATTTAGACACTCCTCGTCGGTTAGAAGTGGGATATACAAGATGTCGTGTTCAACTCCCTCTGCTGAGACACTACTTGAAAGAAAAAATATTAAAGACCGGCGAATCTGCGCAGAAGTTGAGAGTATAAAGCATTATTGTTTCATTGTAGTTTGTACGATACAGAGAGACGAGTTAGGCTTAATACTATTCAGCAAATTGGTCCTATTACTTCAGACTTAATATTACTAAAACAGGGATCGTTTTTGCGATCCCAAATTAGGGACAGTTTGCTAGTTCCAAGTCCTGCGTAAAAAATATATCGGCATACTGGCAATGAATCGCCAGTGTCGAAGAATATCGCAATAGAAAACCAGCAGGACAAAAGAAGTTGTTAATAAAAAAAGGCATATCGCCGACAGAAAATAAAGTTCATGCAGAGTCGCGGAAAAGTACGTTTTCGTATTCAGCACACTGGATAACCCATAAGATTTTCTATTTTTGGCGAGCGGTACTGCCAAAAGTTTAAGAAAAATTTTAAAATTAATATTATTTTCCTATGGAAAACGTTTTTTCGCCATTTTGTTTGAAAATTTTTCTTAAACTTTTGGCAGTACCGCTCGCCAAAAATAGAAAATCTTATGGGTTATCCAGTGTGCTGAATACAAAAACGTACGTTTCTGCTACTCTACATGAACTTTATTTTATCCTTAACGTTGATATGCAGAAATATTTACTCTCTCTTTTACCTTTGATTAAGTCACTTATATGTGCAGCTCATTATCTATTTGTTGATTTCAGAGAGAGAGAGAACGAACAAGCAGTACATTCGACCAATGGAAGTCATTCACTATTTTTAGCCGTCAGATCCTTACTTACCCACTAGATAAGGCATTTTAGGTTTATGTAGAAGACGACATTGTACATATTTGATAGTTCAATGCTCCACCCATCAAATTTGTCTCTTTTCCATCTTCATTCTGTCATATTATTCGGTTTCCCTTCAATTGAAGTATATCACATAAATCACTATAATGGGGGAGAACTACTGTTCCAGAAGATACCGGTCCGAATTTTACTGAGTTTGAAAAACAGTAGGGAGCCTAGCCACAGAAAAAGTTGATTTAGCTAGCTTGTGTATTTTACTAATATCTTTCTTTGTGAGATATGGGACATTTCTCATGAGAAGGGATCCATAATGTATTGTAGTTCCTCAAAATACTCGTTGCCATATTGCAACTAAACTTCCGAAAAAAACTACGCCCAGTCAACTTTTGCATCTGTAAAAAAGTCGCTGATCTGCGTTGTCATGTTGCTCTTTCAAAAGCAACATGTCTCATTTTGATCGAACTCTCGTATACTTATTTCTCTTTTATTGAAATTAGTTATAACATGAGTTCCAATAATAACAGTTTCCTCACAAAATACCCTATATATATATATACTTATATCAATACTGTAGGGTTCACTTAAATGAATAACACATACACATACGAAAAAACGTGTGACAAAAAACACACACATACATAGAAAAACAACAAAAAAAGTTTCCAATATATATGTTTTAGACAAAACTAAAAAATAACGTATCTAACTATACATAGTACTATTACTCTATTCTGATTTTTAAAGCAGAAACACAATAATATCAAAAATAGAAACGTTTTATCATGACAAACACCAAAAGAGAAAAAACTCAGAAAAAATAGTCTTCAAATTATCCCTAACACAAAACAAAAAATGTGAAAATAAAATAAAAACTACATATTATACATGCCATACGATTTTTTCATAAATAACAAGAGATAATTTTAACAAAGAAAAACTGTTAATTTTTTATCATTGTGGAAGGATATGAAAATTAAATCAATTCTTTTTTAATATTACAATTTATATCGAAAGGAATCAATATGAAAAACAATTAGACAAAAATGACTAGAAAACAACAATATACATAAAGCAAACGAGTTATATTGATTTAATTTTCGAGTGAGAATTATACAGCCATCCAAGATTATCGGCAACGCTAAAAAAGTAAAATTTTCTCACTATCAAACAAAGTGAAAATTTGGCATACACAACAAAAAGTGAAATGAAATTTAATACCGTATAATTTAACCCTAGAACGCATGTCTGGGGTCGCCCGCGATATTATTTTATTACAAAACAGATAAATACTTTATTTTCACCGATCGCTATGCAAAAGTTGTTCGTTGCATTCATCTCTACCGGATGACATATTTCTTTTTTAGTGCAGACTGTGCAGATACAAAGTTTCCGATTATAAACTAGGTCCGACTCAGAATTCTGCTCGTAATTCGCGATTTTCTCTAACAGGACTAAACTTCTATGTAATAAAAATATCATATTCGGAATCAGGATCAAAAACTGAGTCGATTGATATGGATTTCTATCCTATCCGACTACTTCAATTTTTTTCGAATTCTCATGTTGAAAAATTATCGAGATTTTCACCAAAAATGAAAATGAACTAAAAGTTTCGAACTACACATCATTCGACTCAGTTTTTGATCCTAATTCCAAATATGATATTTTTATTACATAGAAGTTGAGTTCTGTTAGAGAAAATCTCGAACCACTAGAAAACCTTCTTGAGACAGTGAGAAAGCAGTTCTGTTCTTGAGATCATTGCGAAAATGCGGTTGCGATTTGTGTGCTGAACATCGGTAAGTGATTTTTAATGATTGCCTTTTATAATGTAATGATTATAATTTTGAAAAGTTGGGAATAAAACTGATTATCAACAACATTATTGCATTTTCGTCTCTTTTTTTACCTATGCGTTCCAGGGTTAAGTACGATATCTATAAGAGCCTTTAGAGAGCAGAGCTATAAATAACCTTTTCTACTAGAGATGAATGCGCTAGCTTTTAAGAAAATTCGTCTAAGAAGGGAGTGAGGAATGATTCTAGCTCAGAGGATAGAAATGATGCCTCTGTATCAGACTTCCCAGATGGTCCGCATTTTGGAGTTTTTTCCGCAATTTGTCCGCATTTTAAGAATTGTCTGCTTTTGCTGTTTTTCCCCTGTTTACATATAACATTTAAAAAAAGAATGTCTATCTATTGAGGATTCTCTTTCTCATCCTATTGTCAAACCAACACCATCTCCAAACATGCACAAATTGGTTTCGTTTATATTTTCGATTCCGTGCAGTAATTCATACGTCGAAAGTGCATCTTCTTCCATGAAACATTTATTTAACGATAAAAGAAATCGTATGTCGACAGAAATGATTGCAGCTGAGTTAAAAATTCGCTTAAACTTATCGTCATATCACCGGATCGAAAAATTCTAAAAGCTTGTTCGGTCAAAACCGATTGCGGATTTGTCTTCTCCATGGTTGATTATGTGGTACGCGATAACTTCTGGATCGGGGTACTTTAGAAAAAATTTTCGACATCGTTTTGCCTTTGGTCCCATACGGTAACATTTGGAAAAATTTTTGAGCAAAATCATGGAAAAAAATTTTTCTAAAGTACCCCGATCCAAAAGTTATTGCGTAACACATAATCAACCATGGAGAAGACGAGTCTGCAATCGGTTTCGACCGAACAAACTTTTGAAATTTTTCGATTCGGTGATATGTATCATGCACTGAAATTTATAATTATTTCTTATCAACGCCAGATCTGCTTAAACTTATTCATTCTAATCAAAAATATACAGTCAAAAAACAACGTGTCAACTAAAATCGAGACTTACATTTTTGTTTGTTTTTCTCTTGTGTTTTATTGAATAAAACCACCAAGTGCTAGAGAAAACATTTTTTTGATTTTGTGCCGACAGAGTTGGCAGCTTAGGCGCCACAATCAGTGCCAATACGGCGGAAAACCGCGTCGATTATGGCACTCCAGCTGGCAACTCTGTGATTATGCGTGAAAACGGATGAAGTTAGACCATGAAAATGTGTTTCCGCTTTTTGTCCACATTCTGAGAAAAATTTTCCGCATTTTGGGATTTTTATTCCGCATTTCTGACCTGAGGATCTGGGAACTCTGCTCTGTATATCAAATAAGAAAGACACAAATATTTCAATACATTATCTACCTTATTTTGCTTTTGGACGAACTTTGACGGCTAATTTAATATCTTTGCCGCGCATATTATCATACTCTTTTTTGATACGCGAATATTCTTCCCATAATTTTTCATATCTTATTTTCATTTGATTGTGATGTTCCTCACGTTTATTTAAAATCAATTGATTTGCTTTATTTAAATCTTTCTCATGCTGATACTGTTTTTGAAAATCACTATAATTAAAACGAAATTAGCATGTAAAGACAGTTTCTTCGTTTTTTAATAGAAAAAAATAACTAAGATCAACGACACGGAAAATAGATCCATTCGATAACAGACTTTTCCTCAAATAAACCGGATAATAAATTGCATCTAAAAACAAAGTTGACGCATAACGGAAAAAGCATACCTGGCCTCTTTTTTACGTATTTCACACATGCTCTGTTGTTCCTGATACTTTTTTTGAAATTCTTCAGTTTGTTCTTGTTGTTGTTTTTGTACTTCTTTCAACTTTCCTAATTCATATTCATAGTGAATTTTCTGTTGATTAGCCCATTCAACGAATTGTGCTTTTTCTTGTTGAAAACGTCGTTTTTCATCTACATGTTGTTTTTCTTTTATGTCAAGATCAGATTTCATTCGACTTTGTTCGTCTAAATAGTATTTTTCTTTTTGCTCAAAATCAGCTTTTAATTTGACGATAATTTCATCATTACCGTTACTTGTCTGATTTCGTGTTTTTAAACGTTTTGCACAATTTATTATTTGATCTTCTAATGAATCGTTGTTTATCGTATTGTCAACAAAATTTTCTCCTCCAGATATGAATGGTAAACTACTATTATCTGATACGTTTTGTGATGGACGTGGTGGAGATGAGAATGTTGATGATGGACGATTATTTTGTTTATACGAATTCGCATAATTATTATTTTTTATTCGCGTTTGATAATAAGGCTTATTACGTTGAAATTCTTGTCGTCGATATTTTTGTGGTGTTGGTGATAAATTTTCTTTTGACATTCGTTCCTCGCTTTTTCGCGTAAAACGCGGTAATTCTAAGAAGGATCGTTGTGTCGGATAATTACCAACTAGTGATGCTTTTGATGCCATAATATGCTGACCATCAATTTTGTGATGTTGTTTAAGAATAAACTGGAAATTTTAAAGATTTTATGAATTGTTTTTTGAATGGTTCGAATAAAAAAACGGATCCTATGATCAATGAATACTTACATCATCGGCAACTGCTTGTTCGTCGAACGTGACTGTACCACATTTATTACCATAAGCAATATTATTTGAAATATGTGCATCGCTCACCTTTCCATACTTTTCACAATAAGTTTTTAATGTTTCAATAGTTGTAGATGGGAGAAGATGCTTGACATCCACAGTAGTTGATAGTGGAATTGGTAAAGATAATCGTTCGATCGGTGCACTCATTTTTGAATTTTTATATCTTAAAGAGGAAATAATAAAATGTCAAAATATTGATTTTATACCAAACGCAATTTAGATAAAGAAAACTGTTCCAATTTAAGAATCTTGCCGATGAAATTTTAGCTCGTTTTGAGATCAAGAAAATTTCCGGAAATAGTAACAGCTGAAAAGAACCGCAAAACATTTGATTACTTTTCTAAAAAATTTTCATGCTAAAAAACCTATATTCAAGACGAAGTACAAATTCAAGAAAAACTTCAAAACGTATATCAAATGATGTGTTATACTTTTTTAACGGAAAGGCAGAACAAAGTTTGTGCTCTTCAGCAGTTTCACCAATAAGTTTACTCCTCAATCTTTCAGGTAATAGAGGCCAAACTACTAAGAACTTGAATCCAAATGCAACACCCCGGAGGAAACAGATGAAATCGTTGAAATTTCACCGTTTTCTCTCTCAAAAAAATACCAAAATGTATGAGAAATGGCGCTAGTATACTACAGGTATGTTCCAGAGAGATGTAGCGAGTACTAATGATAGAGGACGCCATTCCCATAGCGTGAAAAATATGTTTATTAACATAGGAAACTGCAAAATGTTAATTATTATAAAGAAATGAAAACAATTAATTACATTCGAAATTAATCAAAACAAAATGAATATCAAAATCGCTGCAAAAGGTATTACCTGTGTATTAAATAGAAGAACAAAATGAAATTCAAAAAACGCATAGTTAACGCAAACTGGAAGCCTTGTTTTTCAAGACTTTTGAAAATGTTTATTTTAAAACGAAGACGGTGAGTCATTATATTAAACTTCACAGGTTTTGAAAGTAGACATTCTAGTGTATTTGAATACCTACATATCTCAATACCAAGATTTTTCGAAGATGTTATAGTAATTTCGGGAGATTCTTCTTTTAGATTAAAATATGTTACCCTCGGTATTTGCGAGATCATATTATACAGTTTATTTTCCTTGCTAATGATGTATTCTCAATAACTGCTTATGTCTAACTAAAACGTGTATTAATAATTTGCAAGGAGAAAATAGCTGTGCAAAAACGATTTGTATCGATTTAAAATAGGTACACTGTAAGGTAAATTATTTACGGAAAATGCTCGGCGAATTTCATTGAGTATCTATAGGAATTCCTCGAGGATTTTTCAGTTTATAGAAAATCGTCGTTGAATTTCCATAAATAATTCCCAAGAAAGTAGAAATTCCTTTTTGATTTTCTATAAACTGGAAATTCCTTGGCGGGTCTGCACCGGGTGGCGGCGCGATCAGGCTGTATTGGGGTTGCCCCCGCTCATGCTTTTGAGAAATTTCTGGTGAACGTCTCCGATTTTGGGACCTTTCTACCGAAACTTCCCGCCACTACTGCCTCTGCCTAAAGCGAAATTCTTGATAGTATAGGCAGAATTCGGATCTAAAGTAGAAACTGTCAAAGCTGATTTAAGTGTAATATGAGTGTCTTTACGTGACGCTCGTGTACCTACACTGATTGCAAAACAAAACGATGAATAAGTATTTGGTGTAAAAATTCCTGGGCGACTTTCCACTTTCTAGAAAATCGCCGGGGATTTTTTAGTTTATAGAAAATCAAAATCGAATTTTCAGATTCTTATAAATTATTTATCGAAAATCCTCAGCGATTCTCCACCTTTATAGAAAATCAAATTTATAAATCGGTTTTCTAGAAAGTTGAAAATTCGTCGAAGAATTTCTATAAACCGAAAATTAATTCACGATTACAGTGTAGTAGACTTCGTGATTAAACTTATTAGAAAATAAGTCTGATAATGATAGAATTATTTATTCTTATCTCTCTCTGTTTTGTTGTCAAAAGTATCGTCAACAACAACTGTCATATTTCAGTTGCTTCTACTTGTTGAACATGTCTCATTCTACCAAGGAAAGCTCATTTAAAGACGCTCCTTGCCTTTCTTAATTTTCTCCTTTTCATTTAAATTTAAACACTCGGTATAATTGCACTCAGATCGAAAACTTATTGAAACCTAAGTGTGGTCTGAAAGAATTTATCGTTAAAGAGAATGAACGAACTTAAAATTCGATGCATGGAATATGTTGATTTTCAGCTAAACGGCAATTAGATGACACATATCATCGTATCAGCCACGTTTGATGGACCATCTCGGGTTAGATGAGACGAATTAAAGAAAAGTATTGACGGGAGAGATGAGAGGAAAACATAGGTTGACAGATGACGACGGACGATAACAACAGCGAATCGCCAACGACAGATCAGATGAAGAGAAGTCTGAACCTTTTCGTGCCCTAATACCTTTTTTTGCTAAGGTAAGTTTACTGGACAGTGCTGCCAGGCCTCACTGTACAAGTGCTTGTCAAGTAAAACTGCCAGTGCTTTGATTTTATCAAGTATTATAATGAAAGAGTTCTTGCAAAAGCTCATGGTAAGTAATTTTGAAAATACTTTTCAACTTAACAAATACTTAAATTAAGTGTTTGGATCGCGTGCGTTCACTACGGCATTACCAGTGTCGTTTTTTCAAATCGTCTAAATGAGTTTGTGACTATACTCTATTGTCTAAGATAATCTCTGGTGTTTGTCGCGCTTCTTTCTGCGACCGGTAGAAACATAACACATATTTCATGTTCGAAGGATCAGGCAAAATACCATGCGTGTACGTCGACATTATGTAAGAAAATAAATTTCCTTATTTAAAAATATCAAGTAGATCAATTTTCAAGCAAAATCATACATGAAAATATTTCGATATTTTATCGTCGTATTGCGCAATCCTACTATGAAATATCTAGGCATAGGCGTCACTTTTATTGGGTTATCTAGAAGTGCATCCCGATGTCGTCTCAATATATTGGAATATAAGAAAAGGCTAGTGTGAGGGGCTGCGGTCCCCGATATAATGGTCTGCTATAGCCCAATATATCGACTCATGTATTGACAGCATGAGGGATGCTGTCTACATTGCACCTGGGGATCTCTGTATGCAGACATCCTGGTTTCTGTAATATATTGATCTATTATTGCTCAATATATTGACTTGATATGAATAAAAGCTTCGTAAATTTATGGAGTATGTGTTACATATATAGGTGCTGTGGCTGCAAAACAAAAACGTAAATAATCCGACCGTCGATATATCGAGTAACATATTGGATATAGTACTGGGTTATCTGGGTATCTTGACTACTGTATTGGGTTAGCTAGCTTGGATTGACCAATACTCAATACTTTCTTTTTACCTGTATCTGTAGGTATATTGGGGATTGGATTGAATTGGATTACCTAGATAGGATTGCCCAATATTCGATACTTTTTATTCGCTCGGGATATTATGGGTAAAAGATTTACAGTAGATAATTCAAATCGTATGCTCATACGTCGATTTCACTGTCAACAACTGTTTTGATCAGAGCAGAATGACACATTTCTTGTTATCATATCAACAGTTTCATTGATTTTTTATTAAAGCTATCGTATGTGTCAAGGAAAGGTAAACGATCATCCCAAGTAGTATAATTCTGCTACCGAAAGGATGATTTGGTAACGTTTTTTAAATATCTTAAAAATCTTATAACGTTTGAATGGAAAAGAATTCAGATTCAAGCAATGTCACATTAGAAAGAGGAAAAGACGCTCTTGTAAAAACGTGAATTCAACAACCTCTTCAAAATATTTTGTTTAGGACAAGTAGCTAAAATATTAACTACCACCCAGTATGATTTAATCTAGTGGAAGTACATTGTGGTTCTTCTATCATACAAAAACAAAACATTTTGAAGGTTGTTTAATTTTCATTTTCAAGAGCGTCTTTCTTTTGTAAAAATGAAATCCGTATTAATTGAAATAGGATTAAGAGTACCGGTGTATGCCTATGTCCTACCTCCTTGTATAAATTAACTTCCTTAACTTAATCCTTGTAAAAATTAATCACTGAATTATTTACTTTCAGACATGAGAGAATTGAAACGATTTTTTCAAAAACACTACAAAATTCTTCGCACTGTCAGAAGCAATACGGATACTTATAGATGACATGGGTTACCCAGTAACATACTGACCTCAAGATAGATTTCGTTTGGAAATTTCGTATTTTTGACAACAGTGCCTGAAATCTGGATATATTTGACAAAAAGAATGTTTAAAAATAATTAAATTCGCATTCATATGTAGATCTGACATGAAATTAGGTTAAAGTTCTAAACAACATATATTCGGTTCTGCGAATTAGAGCCTCATTCAAAGACAACATTAGCCGACCAGAATATTTTGGTACGTTCCTGACAATCAGAAACTCGAAAAATCCCCATGGAGGTGCAACTTCAAATACAATAGTGGATGCGTTGATTTAGACAAAACAAGATCTTTTTTTTTTATACTTAATTCGAAGTAACTCGGCGTTGACGGCAAATCACCAAAAGCTACAGAAAAAGATTTGAAGACTTAACTAGATCTTATTTAATCAGTTAAAAAGCTGAGATAAAATTCAAATTGCTTGGACACTAGTTTTTTACTTATGTTTTATCTCTGAAGCGATACTGATTAGAGACAGATGTTAAGTATCTCATTTGACTATACAAACTATAAAAACAATAAGAAAAAACTGGAACGTAGTTCTAATAAAAAGTAAGACAGATTGTACCGAAGTGAACAAATTTAAAAGCATTATGAAAAATATTATCCTAATAAAAAAACGAAATTATTTCATCTAACAATAATTGTTTAGTGACTAGTAACTGTCTTCTGCTGCTTAAGAGAAGCAGCACATGAAAATGATCTACATTGTATTCATTCATAGAAAATCCAGAGAGTTAACAAGAGGCATTACAAAAATAAAGTATAACAAAACGAAAAAAAGTTTACTTTAGCAATGTATAATAAAAATAAATATATGTAAGTCTATCATTCAATTTGAATATTTTTCATTCCACCAAATATGATTTGAGACTAAGTACACATAATCATATTATAAACTGAATTTTCGGATTCTCATTCAATCGGACAAAACTACAATGAAACAACCATTAAATAAAAAGTATTGTTATCCAACGAACAAAATAAGTTATCTTGAAAATAAAACTGATTAGTACAGCAGTTAAAACCAGCTGTTGTATTAATCAGTTTTATTCTAAAGTCATTGTCTTCAAATCGTGGAAATGTACCTTGGAAAGTTATTGTGAATTATTCAGCAATCAATGATACTTGTTAAACGAATTGTTTCAAGTATTGTGTGGCAGGCAGTTTTCTAAACAAAGTTAAAACAACAATATGAAAAAATGCGACAGAAGGATGAATATTACCTGACAACACTCTTATTAGATAATAATTATTCAAATAATCGAGTCATTTATTGTTTGATCAAATCCCTTAAATAAAATATGATTAAAATAGTGAAGAGTTCCAGTTGCAAAAGGGATATTCTTCGACTAGGCTTTGAATATTACGTTATATAGGATCTCTTAAATTCTTGGCAAGAGCATGCGGGTCCAGATATGTAAAATGTTGAAGATGCACTTTCTCAGTCGTTAGAGTATCAGAAGTTCAGTTCTTCTAAAAGTGGCTCCTATTTGGCAAACACAAACAACGAAAATAAACACGAAACTTTGTCTCACTTACCTCTTAATTACTCTTCTAACTTAACAGCTTATTCTTTTATCGATAGTTCTATATGCACGTCTCGTCTAACTATATCATATCCATATGCTATACTGGAATCTATGTTTGACTGTTTCTCCATTATGACATCTTGCGTACCTATTTTTCTAACTCATAATGATAAAATAGATTCTTCTAAACTTCTATGCGCTGTCTACGACACTCTCATCATATTGACTTAGATGCTTAAAAACGAATCTAAAAACAATGCACAGACAGCAAGAAAAATATATGAATGTTATTTAAGAAAAATAGATTACATTTTACCACACTTTCTAAAAAGAAAATTACATATTGTACTATCACTGAGATATATCTTTTGCTTAGTGTATTTGTATGTTTTCTAGTCACACTGTACTTTTCACTTATACAAAATCGCAATCTGAATCGACATTGTAAATTAAGTTTTGAGTTTATCTAACGTACGGAATTCGCAACTATGCTCCAATTAAAAGTGCACAATATTTCAAAGATTTAGCCACTCTATTGTGGTCTAATATTACCCGATACTTAGCATAATTCTTTCTCTTTCTTGTTTTTATCAGAAATCAAACTTACATTAAGAGAAAACAAAAATAAAAAAAAAATGCATATTTTCATGCTTTGTAAACTTGTTCATTTGGACGTTGATAGAACGATCATAGCAAATACAAGTTAGAAACAGATCCATCTTTTTTTTCTTTCGAAATACTTCTGAACAAAAAGACAACAGCAACAACAACAACAAGAATTGCAATTGTTAGACATTAAAGAGTAGTATGTACAAAAGTTCATAGAGCCTAGGGTACAGATGAAAACAAATGAATTTTGGTTTGTAAAATAATTGAGACAGCTAAACCGCAAGTAAATATCTTTCTATCGTACGTATGCGCAATTAAATAAATTTCGTACATGTAAGTTCCATTCACAAGAAAAATTTTCAGTGATATAAAATATTAAAAAGATGAATACTTGCCTCAAGCTAATCTTAAGCTCCATTGTACACACACACACACACACAAAAAACATAAACAGATAATTCTACATCTGAAACAGCTTCTTTTTCTTAAGTAGTTATATCTACATAGAGATAGATATAAAAACAAATGTTATTTAAAAACATACCACTTTTATGAATAGGAGCAAGAGAATATTGACAATTAACGACCACCGCCGCCTCTTCCGCCCCTTTGACCTCCACGATTATTGTTTGGACGGTCATAAGGAAAAGTTGAACCGCCCCCTCGACCTCCACCTCGCCCCATACTAGAACGCATCGGTCCACCACCACCACCTCCCGTTGGTTTATTGTAATTATTATTATTGTTATTATTATTATTATTACTCGCTCCTCCATAACTTTGTCCAAATGAACTGTTTCCAAACGGTGTATTATTCATTGAATCGTACCCACCACTTGGTGGCTGGCCCATATTCATCGGATTGAAACCTGATATACCCGGATTTTGCCCAAAAGAATTATTTTGATTCGGCATTGTACCAAATGGATTTGTATTTCCCATATTTGTACTGTAACTATTTTGCTGCGCTCTCGGATCCAACGTTGGCTGGTTAAATCCTTGTAAACTAGCCATATTTGGCATCGGATAACTACTTAACGAATTATTTGGTAAAGGTGGCTGTTGTTGTTGGTTATTTGTACTGTAGCTGTCATAACCCATCGATGCTGTATTATATGAAGTCGGTGGCATATTCATTGACTGAGAATTCGGTTGTTGATACATTCCGCTGCTACCGCCTTGCAATGAGTTCATACCTCCTAGTGGATTCATACCATAATTTGATGAATTAGGTCCTCCTTGTCTGTTGTTTGGCATTCCATAATTACTGTTGCTACTATTCGTATTGTTATTATTGTTGTTATTACCACCACCACCACCACCACCGCCTCCCATCGTTCGCGGATTGTTATTCATATTATTTCCAACTGGACCATTACCTGCACCATTGCTACCATCTTCATTCGTCTTTTGTTTTGGCACGGCTTTGCGTACATCAAGTTGACGGCCCATAATTGAATGAGGACGTTCCAAGATTACTCGATCAACAGGATCGTAATCATCAAAGGTCACGAAACCAAAACCACGTGGTTTACCTAATAAACAAAGACATTGTTAAATCACTGTTCCCAAAGCTATAAATCAACTTGTGTTTACCATCTTTGTCTTTCATTACAATTGTTTCTACTATTGTTCCATAACGGCCGAAATATTGTCTCAATATATCTTCTGTAATTCCATCTCTTAAACCAGCAACAAACAGCTTTTTAACAGTTAAATGTACATCTGAATTGTTTTGTTCTTCTCTTGGCATTGCTCGTTTTGGATCAATTTGGCGACCATCGATTGAATGAGGCCGTTTTGCCATAAAATCATCAACCATTGCAATATCTGTGATACAAAATCATACTATTCGTTAAATGGCTACGTCAAAGTATCGTGTACTAACCTGAGTATGTAACAAAGCCAAAGCCGCGACTTTTATTATCTCGATCTTTCATAACTAGGCAATCTGTTATGTCCCCGAATTGTAACGCATAATTTCTCAATGTTTCATCAGTAGTACTACAATAGAACCATAAAAAATTAACATATGATAACATAATAAAGCATTGTACTCACCAATAAGCTAAACCTCCGATAAAAATTTTTCTATTCTGGTCGGCTGCTGACGGTGGGGGCATGACTCTTCCTCTTTTGTATCAAATAAATAAAGTAAAACAAATTTTAAATTATTTAATAACTAATTCTACAAACAAAATAAAATAACAGCAAATAATTAAATAGCAGTTAAATGTAGATAGTATAGAAGTTAATTATTAACGATAAAAACAAATTAAAATTCGACTTATTTCTGAAAAAGTAAACGGAAGTCACGGCTTTTATTGAAAATGACTCATATATTCTTTCTTTGTACAGCACACCTCAATTGTGGCCAGAATAGTTTGTTCCAATCTCTGCACGTTTTGCTCACGTTTTCAGCAAAATAACTAATATATTTTCTTAAATTAAACGTTTAGATAAATTGAATCAATTAATAAAGAATCCTAAAATTCAATAGTGCTTATTTTACAGTTAAATGAGTCACAAATATTCCTCCATAATATTGTCACTGTTTGTACTATTATACATCTACCGGCATCTTGTTTTTCAGTGAGCTTAACCATAATTAATTAATTTTTTTCTTCTTTCTTTCTCAACTTTATTTGTCCTTGGCCAATAGAAAACGTTTTTCTAAGTTTTAACACATTCTGGCATTCAACAAATATCAACGTCGCTAAAGGTGACTGATCGCGTTCTTATTCGTCCGAATCGGACCTAATCCTAATAGCTATTTTTCGAAAGTTGTTAGTTACAAAAGTAGCTCATGGCGCTACCGTAATATCACTATTTTAAGGTGCTCACCATCGCCATCCGCGATTTCTGATGTTTGTCTGTTATCTGAGATCTGACTGTAAACCAGCTTGTTATCTAATGAATTCGAGTCCCATCTGACTTTGATTACACGTTTTCATGCAATACAACCGAATTTTATCAGTCCTCATCAGGATTGCTAATCCACGAGGACAAGCCATGGACTGCAGTGACAAAAATGGCGCTACAATCAATGATCTGTCCTGCTCGGTTGGAACCCTGATCCTCATAGTATATATGAGTCGCTAATTTAATATAATTTATACTGTATATATCATAAAACTGTGTCAAGGCACAACGACGAGATCGAGTCTTTTGTGATATTTGTCATAGTTGATCATAAGTGCACATTTGTCACGTAGAGTTCATTGAACCGACAAATAACGCATTCATAGCAATTCAGTTTCGGTAAAACTTCATCGCTGATATCTCTTCCATTGGCCTTTCTTGTTTTCGTTATTGCCAATTGCTCTTTATTGGCACTGTGACAAATAGCGGTGAAACTTCTTGTCATATCTGTGCACAACAGGCGTATGGGACTGTCCTTCTAATATCTTCACTGGTAATAATAAATCTTACACAAAATAAATCATATGAAAATTGTTAATCAGCGTTTGTTTTAATGAAATATATGATGACTACCATTCAAAATACAATAGCACCTGTCATTAAAACTTTTAAAATCTTTGATAAAAAATTTTAAACCAGCTTGAAGCAATACTTGCACTCTCCCATGTTGTCGCGGTTATTTCAGCTGAAACCATAGCAACACAGCAGAAAAACCTCAGAATTAATCGGAATAACAGTCGGTTACTCCCGGCTAATAAACCGTTCTTCCGGTTAATTGTGGGAGTTTTCTGCTGTGTTGCTATGGTTTCAGCTGAACTAACCGTGGTTAATCATCGGTTTTTAAAATAACCGCCGGGTTTTGTCCGGTTTCGACAACATGGGCTATCATTCAACAAATATCTAGGTGACGAATGTTTTAATTGTACCCAAATTTGCTTATAAACTTTTCATTTTTTCAAGCCAGTAAAGAATCGTCACAACGTCATGGGTTCGAAAATCATTGGTATAATGAACGTTATCGGTATGATATTTCCGCCTTTAACTGGGCTCGTTTCCTGGTCAACATTCGTTTTTAAATATCATTGGCTTGAACGATAGGTGACATCCTAGCTATCCTCACTTTCGACATCAATTTTATCCAAAAGAAGACTGTCAAATATGATGCATACCTTTATCTTAATTGCTCAAACGGAAAAACATCAGGATACGGGGTGATGAGTAAATGAGAGACTCTGCACGAACAGTACTTTTAACCAAAAGTGTCTACTGAATTTACACATATAACTAATCACGATTCATAGCTTATTACCTGGAATAGCAAGCCTAAAATATTTATTCCATCAAGTGTAAGTATTTCTTACCTGAATTATCGCGGACACTTGCTCATTTGGCATCAACCTTTTTGGGTATTTTCTTGTTAAATTTCCAAGTCACTGACAAATGCTTTCTTTTTTACTGAATGTAGCTATTTCTTTATATATATTCACTGATGTGTCGAGTTGCTCAATAAGAGTGAATACTTTGTTTGTTGAACTGTTACTCCTTGGCCGAGTGTATTGAGATGAATATGTCTTTCTGTCATAGAAGATGTGTTTATTCATGTCCGTACATGACAATGAACTATTCAGACGTATTTTCAGCTTTGCCAAAACTAATCCTGTCGACATACGATTACCACTATCATTGAACAAATGTTTTATTAATACAATAAAACAATGTACAAATGTTTTTTAAAGAAAACACTCTCTACATACTTATGTCATTCGAACAGGCATTCCTTTGGCAGTATCGCAGAAAGAAAAGTATTTTCCAAGCTAGCAAGTTGCTGAAAGCCATGTCTTTAGTCTAATGAGTGCACAAAACTTTAAAGTGACTCAAGGTTCGCTGACTTAGCTTCATAGACTATAGCTAAGAAATTAGACCTGGCTACACGTTTCCCACAAAGTCTTATTTTTCGGGTAAGATCTAGTTTGTCTTCACGAAGTAACATTTCTATTAACAGACAACGTAATATTCGGAATCACTGTGTAATATCAAACTGCTGCGAGCTATGTATGGAACAATAACTTTGTAAAAAAATTAATTTCAGTCACGGTGATCGTTCTCAACCAACTTTGACCAAAATATTATTTTCTGTTTAAATAGATATTATAAAATACTCTGAAGTATCATGATCAGCACGGGACCTGGGATTATCCGCACTCAATAATCTAAAGGGTACGATATCCCTGATTACAACTCTTTTTATGATGGATAGCTCGTTGTTCCTACTTTTTGATTCTCATATTCTCAGCCGCCAGCATTCTCTAAGTTTCATGGTAGTGGTCCGAAAGAAATTAGACATGATCAACAGTCCGATCCTTTGGCGAAAAACAGTCAATAATTACGCAGAAATGGCCATTAAACCGCTTGTTTTAATATGCCACTTTTAGGTATTAATACGTTTATCATGGTAAAAAAACGGTGTTAACTAGCTAAAAAATGTCATTTAAGATATATTTTGTGGGCTATTAATAGACATTTAATAGACAATAAATTACCGTTTTGAACGTCTTGGGGATAAGAAGATGTAATAATTTAAGAAATCTCAAGAAGTTAAGATCTTGAACATCTTGTAATTCTTGACTTTTTGTAAGTTACAAAGATCTTGATTGTATCTTGTACCCAAGATCTTGGAATACAAAAATTACTCCTGCGGAATATAAATATAAGTGCGAATATTTTTACACTTAGAATAACTTCGAATTTTTTTCCTCCTTGAACATATCTAGTGCATCGGAAATGGTCTAATTAATTGCCAATTAAATGCCATTTAATACGCTATTAATAAGCATTTAAATGGAGTTTTTTGCCATTATAAATGAGAATGTTTAAATGCATTTATTTTTCATTTTTTTAAATGTCTAAAAACGGCCGAATAACAGGCACTTAACTTTTGCCAGCGATTTAAATATCACTTTTTAGACCGTTAGAAAATGTCATAAAAATATCTTCTGAAACCTAACGTACTATCATCTGCACCGCCCCAAGAATCACAGACCACTTCTTCAAGACAAGTTTCTATGACTCGTATAATTGAAGAAGAAAAAAACTAAAAAATTATTTTCGGAAAATCAGGGGCCTGTTTCTCAAAAAAACTTAAGTTTTACTTAAGTGAAAAATTTCACTTAAGTAAAACTTAAGTTTTTTCGAGAAACAGGCCGCACTTAAGTTGTTTTGAGAAACAGGCCCCTGAGTCATTTATATTAGTCATGACGGCAGAATAAAACGTTTAAGGAGTCTATGATTCTATTTGATCGTATATCAGATGGATGGCTGCGGCTGTGACTGTCATAAATGAAACCAAAATGTAACAAAGAAAATTTTCCACTTAAGACCTTGTAATATTTTAAGTGGATTTGCTCAAGATCTTGAAATTTGCGTTTCCAAGACCTTGGGTACAAGAAGTTCCACTAGAGTACAGTTTATTTGAACCTTCCAGCGAGTGGAGAATTAACCGAACATTTTTGGATGTTGGTAGTTAGTTCTATACGAAATTCTCTACTTTTGTCTCTCGAGTGATTTTGTCGATAGAAGACGCCAGTAGATGGTGTTTTTCTCTCTAATACCATTTTATCCTCTTAGTTCGCTGTCTTTGGTAAATGACCAATCGGTGAGATATATTGGGGAAAGCTTTCATCTTATGCTACAGTGTAGGCCACGATAGCGAGAATTTCTTTAATAAATTATAAAACCAAAAAATAACCAAAAGATTACACTTGATTATTATTTTTAGAACTTTTCTTTGATGATAATAGTTTGTAGTAGCGACTATTATTTGTCCTCCAAAGAAGAAATTATGTACGACTTTATCATGTATTGCCCTTTATTAGATGAAGAAAGTCTAGTGCTTGATCTCATTAGTGCTCGCCCACACTAAGTTAATTATAACTTTTATTGATAGCCCAGTATGTTTTGGCTAATATAAATGCGTTTGGTTTATATTAGTTAGTGTGCTCATTGTATTCTTGAATCACTGCAAAAGTATATACTGGCTGTATGATAATAGTTAATTGAGGTATTTATACATTACTTGAGGAAAGTTTGTTTATTCAAAGAAACCTAATCTCTTCTTCAGCTTCCTTTAAAGAGTTGTGTCTTTATATCTCGGCTTTCCTAATTCGCTCAAATGAACTACCGATGAACTAATGGCTTTTCTAGACTAACAATGTTTTTTGTGAGTTGTTTACGTTTTATAACCAAATCATATCATTCTTTTTGTTAATTTAGATATAATCTAGTGTAGAAAGAATGTTCTCAGCATTTAAACGTCGCACTGCTTTAGCGTCAACATCGGACTTAAGTATGAAGGGTGCGGTATTACGTGACTCACCATCCACTATCACATCATCAAAAACAGATGAAAATTGTTTATATATCACACCAACAATATCAACGGGTGAAAAAAATAATAACAATTTAAAACAAATACGTGGTCGAACATTCTCCGGTCATTCATTAGCATCTTCATCGTCTTCAACATTAACAACAAGTCCTTTATTAAATATAACACGTCAGCAAGAAAAAGAAGAATTACAAACGTTAAATGATCGTTTAGCCATCATTATCGATACTGTTCGACGTCTTGAACAAGAAAATTCAAAATTAAAAGAAATTCATCAAACAATTCATCTTGAACATACCGTTAAAGTATCAAATATAAAATCATTATATGATCGTGAATTAGAATCGTCAAAAAAATTAATTGATGATATAGGTACGTAAAGTGGAAGAATAGTTTAATAAAAATATTGACCAGTTCTATATGATGACTTAATATATTTAAAAATGTACTTATATTAATGAAATACGCCAGTTAAAATCATTTATTTCTCAGATTGCTACAAGTACTGAATATCGTCGCTTCAATCATTTGTTTTCTTCATGAACTATTACTGCCTTCCTTTCTTTCTTATACACATGGATTTAAGAATCTTTTTTAATTTTTTTTAGCAAACGAAAAAGCGTTACAAGATATTGAAAATGGTAAATTAAAGAAAACTGTTTATGAGTTAACTGAACAGTTACAACATAAATTAGAAGGTTTAAATCGATCGGAAGTCAAAATGAAAAAGCTTGAACAAGAAAATTATGAATTAAAATATCAGAATGAAGCATTAAAAATAGCACATGATGAAACACAACCTCTACATCTTCAAATAGGTGAATTAGATCAAAAATATAAATTATTAGAAAAATTATTAGAAGATGAAACACTGAAACGTGTTAATGCTGAAAATAAATGTAAAACATTAGATGAAACAATTCAATTTAAAGAATCAATGTATAATACAGAATTAAATCAAGTTCGACAACAACAACGTACAAAATATGATCGTATTGATGATAGTTTAAAACAAGAATATGATACACGTTTTTTTGAAGAACTCAAGAGTTTAAGAGATGAAACAGATCAACGTATACAAGAAATGCGTATAGATGTTGAACAAACGTATCACCAAAAACTATTTGATTTTGATGCAACTCAAAAACGTTTACAAGAACAAATACAACAATATCGTCAAGATTTAGTTGATTCACGAATGCGATCAGATGAATTAATTAAAGGTCGTAATGATGCACAAGAAAAATTACAACAATTAGAAGAACGTTCTCGTAATAATGATCAACGATTTCAACAACAACAGGAACGATACGAGACGATTTTGGCTGAACGTGATCAAGAAATTGAAAAATTAAATCAACAAGTACAAAATACATTAGATGCATATCAATCATTGTTAGATTTAAAAATCGGTCTTGATCGTGAAATTGGTACTTATCGAAAATTATTAGAAGTCGAAGAAGAACGTTTAAATATTTCATCACTAATGAGACAAAATGATTCATCAATTGCCGTAATAGCCAATGATAATTATCGTAGTGAAAATGATGGCGATCACGGGTCGTTATTCTTCACATCGAAAATTAATCCGGTGATGGCTAGTGTAAGTGAAACAGCAATAATGATGAATGATGGTCATATACCACGAAAACGAAAACGTCTTGCAAATATCAATGACAATCATTATGGAGGAGAATTATAATTAGGGAATAAGATAAATAACTTTTGTCAGATTTTTGCTTTTTCTTTTTATTCTCGGTGAACAAATAATTTCTTCTCGTGCAGATATTTTTTTTTTGTTTGTTTGTTTGTATGTTTTTCTTTACTGTGCTTTGAACAATTTTAATCATGTTTTTCTTTTTTTTCTTTTCTCTTCTTATCATATTGATAGAACATAATAGTATTACTGTTATCATTCCTTACTTGTTACGTAGGCATTGGTCTACACTAGAACTGTTGAAGGAGTACGTAGATAATGTTTTTCTTTTTAATGTTTCGACCGTTTTTAGAAATTATCAATCCCGGTTAAATCTCTTCTGTATTAAATATCATTTCAAAAATCTGTGCCATTTTTTCCCCTATGTCTTTTGTTACTGTTTGTCATCTGGTAATTACCAGTGTTACAAGACTTGACTAAACAAGAAAAAAGCATATGGATGAAAAACGTTTCTATATTTTTGTGTGTGCATTTGTAGATAACTCTTTTTTTTCTCATTTTCTGTTCTAACCTTACATAATTACATTTTAATCGTCTGTTATGAGTTCAGATCAAAATCAGATTGAAAAAATATATTTACAAAAAATATCTGAACATAATCATTTATGAATAGTTGTTAAAGCGCAGATTTGTCTTTATATCAAATGGAGTCAAAAGCAAAAATCATCTTTCATAAGACTTTGTTTGAATAAAGAAGTAAAAATGGCAGTTTTGATAGGAACAAAGTCTTTCATAGACGAACACGAAGGAATTAAGCTCGTTTTTTGTTATTTAGAATGATAGTAGAAAAGACCTAAGCTAAACTAGTCACCTTAGTTGTTAAAATTGTTGTTTCGATGAGATGCGATGGGTATGATAGTATTTCTGAAACTTCTAGAACTGTAAGGAACAAGTCACTTCCAATGCGAGCCCAAAAATCATGCAAAGAAAAAATGAACGAAAAATCAATTTTTTTGTGATACAGATGTTAAAATTTGGAAAAAAGTAAACTGTGAGTAAAAATATCAGTTAAAGTTGATCTGAGACCTCTGATCAGAATACTTGACTTTCAAGAGATGAGCACCTTCCACGTTGAAGTCTGATGCGTCTGAATTTCTGTGTAATTATATGCAAATTTGCATCTGACAGTATATTCAGCTAACTCTGTATGAGAATACTCATTAACATAAACTATGCAGGAGAAAACGACATCATTTTTTCGGTACCCTGTTTTAATTGATAGGATATTGACCCAAGTAATCTAAAAATGATTCCTTTTGTTATGTGTTAGCAGTGTTGCTTTTCCTATTGACCTGGCGACTAATAAGCAAAGCACTCAAAACGTAGTCATAGCAGAAGAATGAATTAGTTGAATACTATGATCTGTTTTTTTCTGTTTTATTTCATTTCATTTTAGACTACATTATCAATAAAATGCCTGCACTTTTATATGCATTTGCCATGTTCGACAATATTACTCTACTCTTTTTCAATGTTTATAATGTATCCTTTTATTATAATATTATGTTTCATCCAAATTTTAATGACTGAAGATATTTACTTTAAAAGTTTCTACTACAAAATAAAAGATTTCTTTTTCTTAACTTTTGATTTTGTTAGATTATTACATTATCAGATTTAGAATCGGACCTCATGAATGTACGACAATGTTGTGAAAAATTAAATCGAGTATGTCTGACAAAAGCTTTAGAAATAGAATGTATTTTCTTAGTTTAATTGTTTTATATTCAATTTAGATGTTTTTACCTGAAGTATTTTTACATTTATTATTGACAATTCTATTCGTATTCAATGGAAATTGGTTTGTTTTTTTATTAAATGTTCCAATGGATATGTGGTCTGTTTATAAGTAAGTTTTTTTTTGTTGAGTTTTACTTTGTTTACCATCAACGTATATTCTTCTAGATATTTCAAACGACAGAAATCACCAGGTCAACTCGGATACTATGATCCTTTGGAAATAAACAACAATAGAAAAATAAAGTCGCATATGCAAGTAAGTGTTCGTAGAAGATGAAAATGTTTTCTGATATTGTGTCTTGTTTATTTAGGAACTTCTTATACGTTTGGCATTTTATTTGATAAGTTTTTTTGTTTACCTCTTTTTGTAAGTTCGTTAGTCTATCAGAATATTTTTGATTGTGACTGTAATATTGATGTCTTTTCGCCTTTTTGTTTAGGTTGATTCACGCTTTAATTTAATCAAAACAGTGTATGGATTGCTACAGAAAAGATTGTAGTCAAATACTCCAGTTTTTTCTATACATCATTGTTTTTTGTCAAAGTAAAGACACGTCAAAAACAGATTTGTATTTGTTTTTGCATGCAGATGTCTCAAGGCTCATATAAGTCTGATAATTGCATAGTCATTTTTTGCATTTTTTTTCGATTAACATATACTCGAACAATAGTTTGCAAGCAAAATTCGGGTGTCTGCTTCTGCTTTCGTCTAAACAAGAGCGTATTGTATTTTTCATGAAGTAGTTAGACTTTATGGTCATTGTATTACACACTTTGAAAAGTGTGAATTGTTTTGCAACAATTTGAAGAAAAAAATATTATTTTCTTTTGGTTACTATAACTACTATAATAAACATAAAAACTACTGGTTCATGTTCTGTATAATCTATTTTGGATTAATAAGGTTAAAATTTAACTCATTTGTTCATCTTTTATATGGATCGAGTATAACGCATTCTACTTTGTTGTTAAATAACTTATTATTGCATTTTGTGATTGTAAAGTTTTGTCATTTTTTCAAACTCATCATCCACTTGATAAAATAGGTGAGAATGAAAATTGAAGTTTAAAATTGAAAATGGCACCATAAGTTAGTCTTTGTTAAATTACCATATGAAATTTTGAACAGAAAAAGATCGTATGTTATCTTAGAGATTATCTACTTAAAAAGCTACAGCAATTACGCTTTGAGACTTTGAGAGAGAGAGAGAGAGAGAGAGAGAGAGAAGGTATGCTGACAGGGTTTTCTATTATCAGTTATACAAAAACAGATAAATCAGAATTACTGAAATATCTGCAATATATGTGTATATCTATCTATCTATATATGTGTATATATATCTATATATACTGAGACTATTCTATCATGACGACAGCGAGAGGTGCAACACTTTTAACTTGACAAACAAGAAATCGCAAATTACTCAATGAGCTATGAAGAATAGCTTCGAGGGTGATTTTTAAATGTTATAGATGTTTAATTAAGTATGCTTATTGAACGATGTATATTTAAACGTATATTAAACGATACTAATTTTCGTACTTGGTTTCATTTAATTAAAAATCGATACAATCGTTCGTTATCATCATTCACACAGTTAAATGTGGCATTTTTTGGTTCTGACAGATTTTCTAGTCATATTCTTGAACATCTGTACCAATTAACAACATCTGGCAAGAAAATAAATCGTTTAGAAATCGTTACTTCGTCGTCACAAAAAAATATGGTTCAACACTGTGCTATAAAACATAATATTAATACACATTTATGGCCCAATATTGATTTATTGAAAGGATTTGATATTGGCATTTTAGCTTCATTTGGACACCTTTTACCACGAAAAGTTATTGAAGCATTTCCATTGTATGCACTATTTATAGTCTCTCATTTTATATAACATTCAAATTTTATTTTAGAGGAATAGTTAATATTCATCCCAGTCTATTACCTCGTTGGCGTGGTAGTTCCCCATTAGCTTATACAATTGCTGCTGGTGATAAAATTGGCGGAGTGTCACTAATGGACATTAGACCAAAACAGTGAGTCCCGACAAGTGAGAAATGTTCCAATTAATAATATTCTTTACACAACGATAGTCTATAGCTGAAAGAGAGATTCTTAGAGCACACTCCACTTAGATAATTTCCTTCTCTGAACCTTTCGAATGTTATAGAAGCACCAAGATTGGAAAGTTGATGATCTCGGAATTGATTGTAATTTTTACCACACAATTACCGAGTCTTAAACCGGCATCAAAATTTTTCAAGTCCTTTAGTTTTTGAGTTATGGAGGTAGCAAGTTGCTCCCCTTGGTGCATTAAGCAAAAGTATAAAAAGTATTTTGAAAACTTTTTAAATAGTCGGTTTTGTCATGCTCGACGAGCTGAACATTTTTGCTGTCGGATGCAGACCATAATAGTATAAAATGGTTTAGCTAGAGGCCAGTTACTGAAGGCTATTTTTTGCATTTTTATACCTTTTTATTTTAGTGTATTTTTTTCTCTAAATTTCATATAAAACTCTAAAACTAATTATAGAAAGCTAAAACTTCAAATAGAAATCGGAATAAACAGATTTGTTGCATTTTTCCCATTCATAACTTTAAACCCTTTTTTGTTTCAGTAGATAGATACCCAGTCAGTCATAGTCATTCCGAAAACTGCACGATTCTAAAATTTACGAAACATTTTACGCGTTTAGCGAATTTGTGACACAAACACGCAAGAAACTGTGAGTGTATGGAAAATAACACACAGGAAACGCATGTTGCCATGAAAATAGGCTTTCCTCGTGTGTTCATGCGTGCTATTTGTATATAGTTCGCCGATTCTTGCGTGTTGATATGCTACATTTATTAAACGCGTAAAACTTTTTGGTAATTTTTGGAATCCTGCGGTTTTCGGAATGACTATGACTGACTAGGTATAATAAACATTTGTCTACAAAATGAGAGGTTCCACAAGTGTAAGATATTCGTAATAACCGCGTTATCATAATTTTCTAGATGCCCTGATACCAGTTATATAACTGGTGCGTGCCCACTCTTAAAGAGAAATAAGATTTTTATTTTTTATTTAGCTTTGATATTGGACCAGTTTTACTTCAAAAAGAAATCAATTTGTCACATGATATTACATTGTCCCAGTTACTTACTTTAACCGCAAATACTGGCTGTGAGTTGGTAAGAGAAAGTATTTTAATTTTACCAAAGAATTAATTTATCTTCTGTCATTTTTTCCAGCTAGATCAATTTCTTGAAGATCCTCTTTATTATCGAGACAATGCTGAACAGCAAGCAACTACTGGAATTACGTATGGTGAGCAATTGATTATTATCCTCAGTTTTCTCACATACAAGCATTTGGTACTTCATCGTTTTCTCTAGCTCATAAACTAAACAAATACGCCTTTTATATCGACTGGCATCATCAGAGTGTAGTAGATATTGATCGATTATATCGAGCATTCCATGAACTCGTACGTGATGCAAATCAATAGACTCCTTCACTATGGCACTGTAACTCGTGTTTCCTATTACAGGCTGATCTTCGTACATTGTTTAATGGAAAACCTGTTCGATTACGATTTATTTCTCATGTCGATAAATTATCAAGTAATGGAAAAAACTATGCCATTCATACGTATATTACTAGGAATATTACGAGCCTAGGCTACGGTGTTGTTTGGAATATGTTGAAATATAGAATAAACATTTTCTATAGAATAAGAGGTTGTAGAGCTCTGATCGTTCTTTGATGCACACTCTTCTGTATTTTTTCTACGAATGTCTTCTACCGAGCTGAGGCTCAACTAACTCAGAAGTTTGCTATTGAATGAGTACAAAATTACAAGCGAAAATTATACAGAACTCACTAACACCTTATTTTGTGGAGAAACACGTACTCTGGATTTCTGGCAACTGAAATAATTTTGGTCTGATTAGAGGTTAGAAATTTAAGACAAAGTTTGAAAAAGACATAAAATAAGCTCGTAACATTCCTACATATTACTATTGTTCTTGTTTTAGATTTGAAACTACCACCTGACAATGATGTTTCCCCAGGAACAGCAGTCTACAATAAAACAACTAATACTATTTATATACGGTGTATGGTATGTCATTGAATAGTATCAAGTTTCTATGTTATATGGGATATAATTTCATTGTGATTTTATGCCTTCCAGGATGGATGGGTTGGATTCGAGAAATTTATTCGCAGGAAGCCAATGAGTGCAAAAGACTTTTATAATGGTTATTTGAGCAAAGTTAAACCATTTATATTTGAATCACAAAAAAATCCTATTTTTGATCATATTGATAAAAGACGCATACCAGATGAATGTGTGTAAGAACATCTTAAACTATCGTTTTCTTTTTGTTATTCGTATGATTTTTCTAAAAGGAAAAAGTATACTGTCCAATATGTTTGTTACTTTTTCCCGGTATTAATATCGCACTTTTCTATTTGGTTTTTCTTCCATAGGTATCATTATATTGTTAAATATATCACCTTTTTTGTCATATTTCTGATAACAATAAAATAAGAATGTTAGAAACGAATAGAATACAAGATCGTGTGTTAATATCTCACAGAATTTTTTGACATCCCTTTACTTTCGACGCAATCTAATAGAAAAAGTTGGTTTTAAAAACCTCTTTTACCATTCTGTATCGTTTATATTCAAAATTTATGTATGACGTCTGTTTAAAGACAAACATGTCGAGTTTAGATTCGCCTTTATAATACGTTATTCTTATTTTGGCTTGGAACAGAAAACTAAAATCAAAATCGAATAGAGATAAATCATATCATATATAATACTATTAGAACATAATATTTGCATCCACAATAGTGTAGTGAGTCAATAAACAAATCTATGTACTTGAAACTATTCGCAAAAATCACTTAGTCATACTGTGGAGCTAGTGTACAGAGAATTTGGCTAAGACAAGCATAGATAGCAGCGACTGATCAACTGAATTTTGCGCATGAAACGATCATTATAGTCTAAGTACTTTTCAGCAAATCCTTCTTGTTATTGTTCTTATTAAATCATAAGTACTGTTAAACAAAATGAATTTTTTCTTAAATAAAAAGGCTTGTCTAAAAAGAAATGTCTTTTTTCTGAAAAGAACAGACAAGTGTATGTACCATATTGCATTATAATAACGAGCGTCATAGTTAATATCAATATTATTGTTCTAGTTTTAATGTACTAACGGTTATGCATTTAATCTAAGCTCTATTCTTTCAGAATACAAAATAAATCCATGCATATTACTCTAAAACTTAGATCAGCTTTTTATAATTAGGAACTCGAACATATGAGCTGCATTTTAATCGTGCAATTCCAGTACAGTTAAAAGTAGTCTTCAAATACATAGAAGATAAAAAGCACTAACCTGTCGTTGATGCTGATGGAATTATTAGACCTGCAGGTCTAGATTTGTATTAATACGAAACAATACACTTAATAGATGGCTAATTTCGTTTTTGAATCGATGAACAAATGCCAGTACAATTTACACCGGAAGATGGTGTAAGATTTTTTTGACTGATCTTAAATCCAAACGCCCGGTGTAGAAAGCAGGCCCTTTTTCTTCTGTTTTTTAACAATAACTGTTATGTATGAAAAAAAACAAATTACTACAAATTCTTATTTTGTTTAACAGTGTCCATGGATTACCCTAACACAATAAAAATCTTTTACTATTTTGTTGGTTCGATTTCATCCAATTTTTTTTCTCTTTTTTTAGTAATGACGTCAGTCTGAATATATATTGGATGTTGATGGTGACTAAATTCTACACATACACTCATCGATGGTCTTTTTTTTTCGTTTTTTTTGCATATTATATCGGTTTTTTAAAAATGAAGTATATCATTCTGTCAGATCATGTGAATTCCACTCGCAAATCTGTAACTTAGCCGTACATCTGACGGCAAAGTAATAGTGTTATGAAATAACAGCGTTCGATTCTTCACTTATGTGTACATGTGATGATCATAAATGTTATTTTATGGATGGTTATATACAATCACAATTGAGCGTGGCTATGATGAAAAACGCTGATATGATTTTTTGATTTTTTTTCTAGAAAATAAATTATTGTATAGTTCTTTGAAGAATGCATAAAGAGAAATGGATGTTTTGAACACATATCATACTCAGTAAAGTCAAACTGTGCTCAAATAATTCACTTGAGACTCATTTTAGTCTAACATAAAAACGGTATTTCGGCTCGTCCACGTAACGAGACACTTCGCTGATCAAGTTTATAAAAAAAATTTTCGCTTTCGAAAATTTTGAATACATCACTAGATGTAATTTTTAATTCTAAGAACTCGTTTAAAACGCTTTTTTGATAAAAATTGGTTTTTGAGTCTCAAAACCGGTGTTTGAACATTTCAAAAATTGGATTTTCTATTTTTAGCCGAGAAAGTTTTCGCAAAATAAATTTCTAAACATATGGTTTCGTAGAAAATTTAATTCTCTACAAAATAGAAAATTGTACATATTTTTACATTTGCCGACTTAATTTACAGTTTTTGACCCTTCAACTCGAGGTAGCGACTTTATTCTTGCGTATATCGGTTGACTGCAGCACGAATAATTATATGTATAAATATCAAAATCTTCTGATCATATTAGGTCCCTCACAAACACTCGACAAAAATAGTGCGTAACGCCGTTACGTTTATGTTTTGATGTTTTTGCCTTAACTGAAGATGTTGTAAAAATTCTTTTTTTTACCATCGGATAGCCCTTCTGTGCTCTACAATTTCTGTGCTAAAAACTTTGCATTATAACCTTTACCTTTGTCGGAATTCACGTTTTTGTTGATAGCATTCGAAAAAAAGGGTCTTTTTTCGTAACGCCGTTACGGCCTACAAAAACCATTCTCAAAATTCGAGGCTTTATCCAAAAGCTTTCATTTTTATACCGTAAATGGGGGTCGACGAGCTGCATCGAATGGCGTTTAAATGAGCTTTTTAACTATTTTAGTTTCCGAGATAATTTCATTTTAGTGCGTCCAAAACGTAACGCCGTTACGTTTGGACAAGCCGATTTAAGAAACTTCTTTTCATTTCTCGCTCTTACCGAAAGAGATTGTAACGCCACATTATATTTATAACATATGGCAAAAAGGGCGACTATTCACCAGTTACAATAAAAGCAAAAATTTGGGATGAACCCGGAGCAGCTCAGCACAATGCCAGAGGATGACCTCGACGGGGCAAAGTGTGAGTGTCGTGTAGAAAAAGGATCACACCGAACGTTCCCTAGTTTGACCATGTTTGGCAACGTGGTGGACCGTATGAAGTATGATCAGCGTTATCAATTAGGGGGTGGCAAACCACCCCCTCGTTTTGATACAGTTATTCAAAAAATTTTGACTTAGAAATTTTTTAAGAAATTTGAGTTGAGAAACTGCCTTTTATGCACCTGAGTAAGTGATTTTCTCTAGCTTCTGAGTAACTCATTTATTTGCTGAGAAACTCGCTCTTATGCACCTGAGTAACTGGATGACTAACATTTTTTTCTGAGTAACTGAGTTACTCCGAAGAAGTTTAGTCAAAAAATGCGTTACTCAATAAGGAACTTTAGTTACTCAGCAGGGTCGCCACCCCTCCCATCAAAACTACTATCGAAAACACTGAGTGTGATGTTCACAAGCGAGAGTTAGTCAGATCGACGTTGCCTGGTTTGACCGTGTATGGCAGCGTAGTTGACTGTGTGAGAGTCAGGTAGTGTTATGAATATCTTTCTTGTAAGTTGATGATTTAGAAATGTTGAATGTAATATGGTGCTTAGATAATACAATAGTCGGTCATTAATACCGTATATTATGCAGCAGTTGATATATGTTGTGTCACGGCATGTATGTCACTAAAATACTCAGAAATTGTCGTGGGCTTGCGAACAGAACAAAAGGTAGGCGAAGGGGAGGTGGATGGTCAGCGAAATTAAAGAAACTAGAATAGAGAGAAAAATGAACGAATTTTTCCACACAAGATTTCTCTTTGCGATTACCCTTATGATAAATTCAATTTTTTCGGAAAGAATATGAAAATTCACTTCTCATGAGCTTACATTCTAACTTAAGAATCTACATGTCTGAAGTTGTATGTCACGTCAAGCTCCTTTTTTATAACGATAAAGATACTTATATATTATTATATTGGGCAGCTATTCTAAATTAAGTTTCATATTATAATACAACTACATGTAATGAACAAGAACATCAATTATAACGGATAAATTAAGGTTAAGTTGTGCACAATCATGGAATAAAAGACTTTCTGACAAAACCCAAAAAAATATTCCGTCTTGAATATTGTTTGATACAAACTCTTAACTCAGCACTTAAGAGTTCTAAAACGTGAATATGAAAAATATTACCAAATGCATTTCAAAATTCAGAATTTGGTAAATAATCAGAGCAGAAAAGTATGTTGAATGCATAACAATAGCAGGGTATATATTGTTCAAAACTCTGGCGTTACGATCAATGTAACGGATGTACAATTGGATTAAGCGTAATAAAGGATGACCTCATTTATGGCATACGGATTCTGGAATAATAATTATTATGAATTGAAGATTTAGGATAATATCTAGCGTAAACGCATCCAGTGTAGCTTTTTTCGCAAGAATTTTTGACTAAACTTGGCAAGATCTTACAACATGAGAAATGATGAAGTCGACTAATGGTGAACGTATAATCTATTGGAATGAAAAAGTCTAAAGGTATAATGTTATTGTAGATTTTTCATTACTTCGAAGTAATACAAATCCGAAAATATTTCAGTAAATGTATATTTACAGATAAAATTAATAGCTTTTGAGGTATTATTATAGTTTAACCTTATGAATTTTGCAACAAATTGATATATATAAAAAAGAAAATATTCTTTCTTTCCATTTATGTTCTCTTATTCGACAATAGTAATTATATTTTTGAGATTTTTGAATCATACTGGTTTCGAATTAGATAAGAAAAAAACCTAGAAGAGAATAAATGCAAAGAAAAAGAAATTAACGATTATCAACTCTGAAATAATCCTGGTAATCTACATATATATCAGTTTATTGTAAAATCTATAAGATTTAAAATTGCATATAATAGAAATAAATGTTTTTTTTTGACAAACGCGCAATGACTCAAAATCAAATAAAAATATTTTTTTAGTATTTTCGGTACATTTTTTGAGCAAAAAATTAAATGGATTACCATGTGCAGTCCCTCTTTTAGTCAACGATGTGTTCATAATTCAGTTAACGGAAAACAGATTAGTGAAACACATCGTATAGGTACCGATCTACTGTTGATGCAAGACTTGTATATTTTGTGTTGATTTTTAATTGTCAGTTGACCAAATATCATTGATTAAAATCTTTGTTTCGTATGTATTTATGAAATTTTTTTTTTAAATAAAAAATATGAATGGACAACACATCATAGCTGATAAAATGAATTAATTAGCAAAGCAAGTGAACATTTATTTTTGCTATTTAAAAAGTTTATCTTCATTGTTCAACTTCATCGTGTCAAAAAAAAAACATGAAAAGAAAAAAAAATAATATCATTCACAAATGAAAAAACAAAAGAAAAAAAAATTAAACAAACAAAAAAACAAAAGTAAATAAACAACTAGACATACCGAATTAATCATCTTGTTATTAGTAGTACTAACTGTTGTGCTCACTTATGCTCGTGAGGAATCAACTTTTAATTATGAAAACTCAGATGTTCTTTGTTTTTCTGCATTTTTCTATTTTAAGTTCGATGTTCGCAAGAAGTAGTAAAAATAAGACAAAAAAATTGATTCGGTGAAACAATAAACTAAAAATACGTACATACTTCTTTATCACTCTTTCCATAAATGCCATTTGCAAAATAAAACAGACAGTCGGGTGAATTTACTACTATTTTTAGTTTGGACAAACTATAGAAAGGACTCGAATGCAAGAGATGCACTGTGTGTATTTTTTTCACACAGAAGTAGAAAATTCGAGTGATTTCATTATATTTTTGAATTGATTTATTTTTTTTTTGTTTTATAACATTAAAACTAAAACTTTCTTTGACTATCATCTCGAATTTTCTTGCACACCATTATGTTGCAGGATGTAATCGATGCCAAAAGTGATGAACAAGTACCTAAAAGAAGATAAGTACAATATTTAAAGATCTGTACCTTCCTGTAGTATTTATTCTTGCCTGTTCAGTCTGGTTGTTCTTGACCGTTTTGCATATGTGTATTGAGCATTTGCTGTCGTTGCATTGGCCACAGTATACTCGGAAAATATTGTTGCTGTTGTTGTTGTTGTTGAACTGTTTTAAGATGCATATGTTCATTATTATTCGATGTTGGTTCTTTTAGCAAATTTGACATCATACCAGGTGGTGGACTAATGGTAGAATTTTTAAATGAATCATTTAAATTTGGCCGATATGAATTGGCTGAATTCATTGATGGTGGTTGATGTTGTGAAAACATCAAGCCTGGTGCTAACATCTGAGTTGGATGAGGAAGTTGTGGAAGATGATTGGTATAAGAGGGATAATTGGGTGACGGCTGAGATGATGTATTTTGGTTATAAGGATAAGACGACTGTATGAATGGCGAAGAAAAACGATTTGTTGAAGTATTAGTCGTATTTTGTATATTGATGGATGTTGAAGGAGGTGAAGGCTGTGCTTGTAATGGTGAATTAATACCACTGCTCCAAACAGAACTTAAACGTGATCTGAAATAATCCGGAACATTCAGTTCACTTTCATAGCGTAGATTTTTCGGTTGGCTAGCATACCTGTAATCTAATGTTGCAAACATTGAATCGTTAGAACGTAAAAATGATCCTTCTTTTAGTTCCGTAGTATCATGCGTTGGTGGATGAGGTGGCCATCCAAGTAGCGAGCACGATGAATGATCTACCATGTTAATATTATCCGAATATGGTTCTGAAATAGATAAGAACAAAGTCAATGCTGGTCTGTTCTCTAAAGGATTGTTGAAAGAATGATCATACGAGATTGTTGATGTTGAGAAAACAAATTTGTTTGAATATCACCAGAATTCTTATGCGTAATCATATTAGTATTGCCGCCATACGACTGTAATGTGCCATTATCTAAAACATATATATAAGCGTATAAAAAATCAGAAATCTGTAGAGATTCGATAATATACAGAAACAGTGATTCCGATGAATTCACCCTGGATTTGTGACTTTCCATCAGACTAAATATGCTATTAAGAAACGTGAGGGGCTCTGAACTAGAAAAAAACACGTACTATGCATTTGTTCGTTATAAAACAATGATCTATTCTCATTTATTCCCATACTAAAATCTTGTTGACGATCGTCCATTTGTTGCATCATCATCGACAACGGACCGTTAGAGCGAATCGATGCTTCGTGCGGTGTTTTCTCCTGTTGTTGCTCATTATCCATATTTCTTCCATACATTATCGATCCAAAATTCGTATTCCCTGTATATCCGCTTGATAGTTGAGGAGGAAGTGGCGTTGGAGCATTAGCTGACTGTAACTGCTGAGATGCTAAAACTCCTTGTGACACCAATCCAGTATTTATTTGCATTAACTGCGGGATATTATTTTGTGTCAACAAGTTTGAAGATGTTGAACCATTGTTCAATGATGTCGTTCCATTTCTGAAAAACAAATAATTTCAATATTCGATGAATCAAATAATCTCTAAATCTTTTACCTTGTAGGTGTATGCGTAGTTGAACCTGTTTCAACCGATGAAGTTGTAGACGAGGTTGCCATAGCGGCTGCTAGGGCAGGTTCAAGAAACTGACGTAATGCAACGTTTCTGGCTCCACGAACAGGCTTTGCTGTTTTATTCGGATTGTACAATCGTGGATCTTCCTCTCTAATATTACGCTAAATGCAGAAAAATAATAACAAACTATTGTTTCTTTTGACAATTACTAATCAGACATCCTGAACTCACCTGTATTGTTCGTTTATCATAAGTATGTTCATGCAACGATGTTGATTCAAAACAAACAATTTCATCTTTTACAAATGTTGTCAAATGTCCGAATGATTGTTGTGATGAGAGAATATTCGTTTTTTGATTTATACTATTTACTGCACCAGAATTATTCTGACATAAACATTTTATCATATGAACAAGACGTAGTTTTCTCAATTGTCGTTCATCTTTTTCACTCAAACACATTGTTTCATTAGAATATTTCTTAAATGAATACGATACAAGTAAATCCTTTAATGGTAAAAAACATTCTAACATTCGCTCTTCTTTCAAAGGATAATCTGTACAACGGTTAAATAACGATGAGGTGATGCTTGTTGTTGTAGAGGATGATGGTGTTTTATCACTTTGTGAGTGTCCTTCTAAAAGCAAATATAACCTAACAGATTACTACATAACTGAGAGACATAATTATTACATTCTGAATTAGATGCTCTCATAGGCAAATTTCACGCGAAGCAAACAGAAAATCGAGTAGTGACTAAAAAATTTTTTTCCCAAGGTTCGGACAAAAGTTTACTTTACAATGGCACACAGATTTTTTCAATTAACTAATATAAATGTCCTCGCCGCTCTAATGAAAGGAAAACGGCTTAAATCAACCACTCACCCTCATTGTTGTTTAAACTTGACGCATAAACTCCAAATGATCTTAATAGTTTTGCTAAATTTGTCCAAAATGTCGTTTTTTGTTTAAATATTGGATGCGAAAACAAATTATTATCAGCAGTTGTTGTTTTTGATTTTTGTTTATGTATCGATGTTAAGTAGGCAAATGAAAGATAAAGTGCTGGTAATAAATGATGTTCATCGATAACCATCAATGATAATGGTAGATGTATCGCTTCTAAACATTGTTCAATAATCGTCACAAATAATGTGACTATTAAATCATATTGTTTTTCTTGTTGTGTTGATTTTAAATACGAACGTGCTGTTGTATTTGCCGTTGTTTCATCATCCGGTTGTGTATGCTGTGGTTGAGGTTGATTGCTTTGCAATGGTAATAGACCTAACGCACGATGAAATGTAAACATGACAATGACAACAATCTGACATAAACTTGTTCGATCAAAATTCGATGTTGATGATGATAATGTATTAATCATTGTCAATTTTAATATATCTATAAATGATTTTACTTTATCTAAATCATGTTCTAGATTAATCATGGCAATTATTTGTAAAAATAATGTTATAAAATCTTTTTCATTTAATTTTTGCTCAGTTGTATAACGTTGTATGGAGATATCTTTTAATCGTGTAAATAATTTTTCTAAATTTGTTATTGCCAATGGAAATGTAACTTTAATTGCTATACTACGAACATAATAATAGGCTGTTATTAATTGATTTTGTGCAAGTGATACAAAGAGTGCGGCTGTTGATGATGTTTTCATTTCGTATAAAATGCCAATTTGATTATATGGTTGACCAAAACAAGGAATAATATGAATAGCATTCAAATAAAAACTTTTAGCCAAATCAATTTGATTTGAATAACGATTAAAATCACCGACATGCACTAATATATGTTGAGTAAAATATAATAACGATGCTTCTTTACATTTTCGATTCATATTCTCACCGATACCAATAGCTGATGTTGAACGTTGTGGAACTTTTAAAAAATTATAGTGTTTACATATTGATGTATTAAAATTATAATATTGTACAACATTCTAAAGAGAAAATATTGAATTTAGTGGTAAAAATATTCAATATATTGCAAGAGTAGAAAAAAATATTTTTTCTTAAGAAAAAGCCTATCATTTCTAGTCCTATCGAGTCTAGTACAAGCTTTTAACGATATTCTATCAGTAGGAAAAACAGATAAATTACGCTAAATGAGAAAGGAAAAAATGTTTCTCTCATTGACGTAAAAGATCAGAGGAAATATGAACGATGGATATTTTCGTAAACCTAATGTTAAGGGAAAAAACTGAACTTTATCAGAGAATCATGCATTTAGTGGAGATGAACACAGAACGAACATAACCTCTTCTAAGAAAAAAGATTACCTGAAGTAATTTCATGTAATAGCCTCTTGCATATTCGTATAATGATTGTAAATTTGTTTGAATTTCATTACGTTTTATATTTCGTTTATCCCCTTTCAGTTGTTCTTGTTTATATGTAATTTGACTTTTGAATACAATATTCCATAAATCATGTTCAATTTTTTTGTCTATCGAATAATCAAGGTCAAATAATATTAACTTTTGATAGGCTTCTAATAATTGTTGACGATAATACCATGCTTCTGGTTTATTTAAACTTATTGTCTGAATGGTTTTCTTTAATATCTCGCATTGTTGATACAACTCGTTTGATGATAAATTATTAATAGTTGACAGTTGTCTTGTATGTTGACGTCGACGATTGGTCTTACTAAAAAAATATGTACATAAACAAGAGATAACAGACAAATAAACGACTTGTGCATACTCTGATCTTTTGTTACTACTGCTTGCCATAACAAATAAGTTCACCCTTCTTCTTCGTCTTAAAAAACAAGATTACATTAAGATCTAAACAATATTGTACAGTCAGCATCTATACGAATTGCATACCCTGCTCTGTAAGCAAAAAAGCTCTGGTCTATCTTCCTTTATATCATGATTAACTATGTTGGTCATTCAATCTGAAATGAATAATGGACTATACAAATCGAAGCATTAATACAAGAGTGGTACTATTTTCTATTAGGTTCACATTCTTCATAATAACTACTACAATCACACACATCCTTCATTGAAAGACACCTCTCCCGATCTGAAACTTTATGTCATTAGCCAAAAAAACCATGGCTGATTGCTTTAGGAGAGAATTATGAGAATTTTTCTTTCAGTCAAAGTTTAGTATCGCCAATGGTTATGTATGTACCTTGCAGCTGTCATTGGCTACGTTCGAACGTGATTGTCAAAGGAATTCGTTGCATTGTCTAAGATCAAAAACAAATATTTATGAAAAGAAAACCGTTGGCAGTGTGTGACAGAAAGAAACTTACTTGCCAGTTATCACAATTTGCTATGTGTCGATACACTAAAAGATTTATTTTAAATTAAATTGAGTTTGTAGATTGCATTAACAAATGAAATTTTATTTATCTGCAAAATTCATAAGAAATTATGTAAAATCAACAATTTATGAACATTTGTGTTAGTCTTAATGATTAGTTTTGATCCTATTTATAAACTAGTATAGACATCTCACACAACAAAATAAACACATCTTAATTTATCGAAGATATGAAAAGAATGACAAATTCGTTTGGACGGTACACTGTTTATCCTCTGTCTTTTCTCAGCCAAAAGTTATACCTTGTTTTACCTTCTACTCGTTATTATTTATTATTACTCAATATAACAGAAATGTGAAAGAATATTTTAATAGTAGTAACATAAAACAAATGAATAAATAAGTTTGCCTTTTTTTCTCTGTTACATTTGATATGTGTGCGATCCACTAATCAAAATCTAGAAAAAAATCTCATATCATCTCATTATCTTTTATAGCACAACTTACATCAACTGCCCTCTATATCGTGACTATAACGCCTATGTTTGTTTGAACTAGAGAATAAAGAAGTACTTAAAAGTTTCTTACTAGGAGTCGGTATTAGAGGGATTGGAGAACTGACAATTGTTCTAATCTCAGAAAACTATACAGTAGTTTTCGATAGTTTTCTGAGAATCGATGAACAGATCGCGGAGATTCGTAGCTGGCGTTATAGTATCTTCTGAATCTTTTGTTGGCTAAAACTAAATAAGATTCGTAGGCTAAATATGCCTCGTTTAGTCGCCAATTTATTTGAATATCTATGTATTTTAAAGTGTCACCTTTGAGAAGTCTGCGATTGTCCAATGTAATGGCATAATGGCTGAAGTCACCCAATGTCCGCTAAATTGTCAGGATATGTCGAGAGCATCAAACTCAAAAAGCTAGGATCACCCTGTACTCTACGCAATATTTTGACTTTTTTCCATCGATTATTGCGACTTGTACATAAAGTTCGCTCTTGATGTATACGAACCCCACAAAAGTGCATTCTATGTATCACAGATATTCCTTTTCATCTCCACTTATGCATTGTCCGCTCCACTTCCTTTTTTTCCAGCTGATTGATTTTGAGTAAGCTTTAGGAACGAATACTGCTTGTAGTTAATAACAAAGCAGTTTCTATTTCTTTTCATGCTGGCACAGAGCAGGCAAAAGAATTCACTTCCAGCTAAATTGTTAATTTTTTTCTTGAGTCAAACACTTATTATTATTCTTTGATCTACGTGTTGTTCTATATACTTTTAGACAGAGAACATATGTTTTCTGAATTTCTTAATTTGTGATTTTTTTCTAGAAAAAAGAGTTGGTAATGCCGATGTCATTTCCAGCGTCAGTAGCCAAAAAAATTAGGTTAGTTTTTCTGGTATATTGCCAGAACTAGTTATTTATACACTTATTTTGTTCACATAGATTGGCCATTTTACACAAGTGCAAATGCAACGGCCGAAAACGTCGGGAGGACTCAACTGTTCTTCATTACAGTCATTGTAATTTATCAAATGTACCAGATGATGTCATGTATTACGAGCATTCACTTGAAGAATTATATCTTGATTCAAACTGTTTGCAAGAGTTGCCAAAGGTATGTCTGTGGGTGTGTATGTATGAAAGTAGCTAGAAGCTAATTCTTTCGAATGTTTCTCTTTCAGTGGTTATTTCAATGTCATGGACTGAGGCATTTAAATGTATGCGATAACGAATTAATATCAATATCACCATCAATATCAAGTCTGATCAGTCTAGAGCATATTGATTTGAGTAAAAATGGTATGATTCTCAATTTACTCTTTATTTCCTTTTTTTGTATACATAATTTACATTTTTAGATTTGACTTCATTACCCGATAACATTCGGTATTGTAAACACTTAACAAGCATTGATTGCAGTTCAAATCGATTAGAAAGGTTATTTACTCTTTTTTGGTCTTTCTATAGGCGTATTATATATTAACGCTTTCCTTTTAGATTATGCGAAGGTCTGACTATGTTGATTAATTTGAAAGAATTGTATTTAAATGATACATTATTAGAATTTTTGCCTGGAAATTTTGGACGGTTAGAATTTTTTTGCTACTCGTCAATTTTATATTTGAATTTATTTTTTTTCCTTTTTAGTCTTACAGAATTACGTGTCTTAGAGTTGAGAGCGACCCGCTTACGTTCGCTTCCTGTGACATTGCCAAAATTGGTTGAACTTGAACGTCTTGATCTTGGTACAAATTCTTTTATTGAATTCCCTGATGTTTTAACAAATCTTCCATCTTTAAAAGAAATGTGGCTAGATGCTAATAAATTATCAACACTCTCGGATGTAAGTTTGCTCTTAAATTTTTTCTATGTGATAACAAAGTGGAAAAATAAGTGTCTTTATATATAAGGTGCAATCCATAAAAGGTATATGATAAAAAATTTGTGCTTTTTTTCACTATTATTTACATTTACGCTTTCATCCAATGTTACTGCTATCTAACCATATCAAAATTTATATTTTTTTTGTTTTCAATGACCGTGTCGTCAAAAGAGAAATTACGATACATAGTGTCGAAAAGTGTGTTATGGGTATTATGCGATAAAATGTAGTATTTTCTTTGTGCATGTTTTCCAAACATTTTATGATGAAACTTTTCGTACTAAGACTGTCTATTTCAGTTGATCATTTCTCTCTTGATAATATGGTTTCTTTCTTTTTTTTTTGTATCAGAAAAATTGTTGCTTTTTTTTTCTATCATGTGTGCATTAATTTGTTGTATAATTTGCTTTTTGCTATCCAAACCATTCACATTCACTTACTTTGAGTCTATTTGATTTGCTTTTTTGTGCTAATACTTCCTATTTCACACTGATATTTGTTTAATGGAAGATTTTCTATTTATTTTAGTCCATCCATAATTTGACTAAATTATCATTTTTTGATGTGTCACACAATCAACTAATAAAACTACCAGATACGATTGGTAATTGTTCATCGTTAATCGATTTACATTTATCAGATAATTCGTTGATTTCGTTACCAGAGTCAATTTGTAAGAGTTAGATGACAACAGAAATGATGATATTATTTAATTTTCTTTATTTTTAATATTAGGTAATCTAGACAAGTTAGAAATATTAACATTGTCCAACAATCATCTGGAACGTTTACCAGTAAACATTGGCAAGTAAGTGGTATCAATGGAATTTTTCAGTACAGTAAAACTGAGTTTTTAATTACTAACATGTGACTTGCCGTTTTCGTTTGTATACAATAACCACATACTTCTGATGATTTCTAACATTCTCCTTTTATTCCCTATAATATGAGAACACTTATAGTATATTAAGAGAGAAGAATTGAATGAAAAACTCTTGACAATTATTGATTACCTTCTTTGTTTTTATTCATATAAAAGTCTAAAAAATTTCAATTACTCGATCAATCCTTGTTATCTTTTTCTTCTTTAGTTTAAGTTCACTAGTTGAGCTACATCTGCCATTTAATAACTTGACTTGTATCCCATCAAGTATTGGTTTATTAAGAAATTTACAATTTTTAACAATGGATGGAAATCAAATACATTCTGTACCACCAACTGTACGTAATAGTACTAATTTATCAAAAAAAATTAATAAACACGAATATATTCGTTTTTTTTAGATTGGCAGTTGTTGTCGTCTGAGTGTATTATCATTACGAGGAAATTGTATAACTCATCTACCAGATGAAGTAGGACGTTTAGCGCAATTGAAAGTATTAAATATTAGTGGTAAGAAGCCAAGCGATGCTTGTCAATATTCTATTGTAATTTTTATTAATATTTAGCTAATCGTCTCAAGTATCTACCATATAGTCTTCTCAAGTTGAAAAATTTACAAGCATTATGGTTGAGTGAAAATCAGGTACATACGTATATAAAAAGAGCTTTTTGTTTTTCTAATGATTCTTATATTTTGTTCAGGCTAAACCGCTATTATCATTCGAACACGAACGAGATCCAGTTACTGGACAACGTTTTCTAACGTGCATTTTATTACCACAGCGTGAAGTTTCAAAATATATGGGTCCTACTCGTTATTCAAATGATGTTGATGAGCAGTGTTTTGACCAAGAAGATCGTCCTCTTACATTACGTTTTGCAAGTGATACAATTGGGGAATCGGTAAGTATTTTTTTCTGTAAACTTTGTAAAAATGTAGACAATTAAATGGGAGTTTTTTTTCATTTTAGGGTGGACGTTTAGTACGAAATCCAACTCCTTATCCTAAAGATATGCGAGCCTTCGCCAATGTTCTTCGAAAATATAATTCAACTGCCAAGCGTCAAATCTTGTCATCGGTAAGTTACACGCTAAATTACTTTTTATGTCTTTTTTTCGTAGTTAACACTTGATTCTGATAACATTCGATTTCTTTCTCTAGGGATATGGTTCAATATCCGTAAATGAGACAGATATTTGTACTAATAATTATCCGCATGATTATCCAACAGAAAGTTCAGATGCAATTTGTTGTCCTATTGCTAATAATCATGATATCGATGAAGATGAAGATGATCTATTTTGTAATGAAACGGTACCAGTTTGTATTAATGAGACACGACCTGATCTTCTATTATCCAGTAATTCATCTGTGATTGAACAACGACATATAGATGATGGTATTTAGTTTGTGTTTATTTTCTTTTTCTATCTTAAATCAAGAAGAAATAATTAGAATAGTTTTATATTAACACATCTTTATTCTGTTTTACGTTGTTTATCTTTCAATATATCTATTCATGTTGGACTATTTCGATGTGGACGTATTATTTGAGTATACGTGTGAAAAGATGACAGAACAGTTCAACTAACTCTGCGAACATAACGTTATTCCTTTTTGTTTTGTTTTGTTTTCGTTAAGTTTATTTGAATCTTGTATAAATCAAAAAAAACGATAAAATGTCAAATATTTGTTTTGATTAAAAAATAGTTAATGCTCAATTTTTCTTAACACATCAATTTTTCTGTGCTATTTGTTTGTTTATATGTTTTACAATTAGTGTTACATTAATAATGTTTATCATTTTTTTACACGAAAGAAATAAAAAATACTTTTGTGAATAACGATGTTTATTGTTTGAATCATAGAGTTTACAGGAATATTATTCTCTAGTTAATCGGTCAATTTTCTCTATTTTCAGTTATGTAAATAATGTTATTTTCTCATTCAATCAGATATTATCTGAGAATTTAAGCCAGTTGAATTCAAGATTCAAAAAGCTTAGTTTATTGGTTCTTTAACCCATTTATTTATTTTAGATTTTCTATTTTTTTATTATAAAAAAAAAATAAACTTTTTTCACAATGGCAAACGCAGATGATACATCTTTAATAAATAATTCAGAAGCACAAGAAAATATTGAACCTACTGTTGGTAGAGAAATGCTTAATCGTTTTTGGACTGAAATGTCAGATGAAATAAAAGCATTGAATGTCGTATGTATTCACAAAATAAGAAAAAGAAATCTCATCCTCTATGGATACATTTTCATATATATTTAGATCGAATTTCGTACTGCTGAATTGCCATTAGCTCGTATTAAAAAAATAATGAAATTAGATGACGATGTTAAAATGATTAGTGCTGAAGTGCCTGTATTGTTTGCCAAAGCAGCTGAATTATTTATCCAAGAATTAACGTTACATTCATGGTTACATACAGAAGAAAATAAACGACGAACTCTTCAAGTACATAGACAATTCTTTAGTCTACGAAAACAAAATATATTTTTTTATTTTTAGAGAAGTGATGTTGCCACAGCCATCACTAAAAATGAGCTTTTCGATTTTTTAATTGATATTGTTCCACGTGAAGAAACAAAACCAGATAAAAAACATGTAAGATCAATAGTTCGTTTTTCATGAAAAAATTTTGAAAAAGTGTATTTGAAATTTTTCTTAGGATGCTGGAAATGAAGTGCAATATTTTGTTACATTACCAACAAATTCTGCAGCTGGCAGTATGATACAACTACCAAGTAAGTTAGAATAGTTTTTTTTATATAGTTTGACTATTGATCTAATTCATCTCTTGTTTAGATGGACAATATATTCAAATACCGCAAACAACTTCATCAAATATAGTGACAATGACTGTAAGTTTTACCATTGCTCTACATAAGTCCTCTCACTATACATTCTGTTATCGTGTTTTAGAATCCTCAACAACAACAACAACAGCAGCAACAACAACAACAACAACAATATACTGTTCTGTCTTAAACTGTGGGACAATCGGTTACTATTGAAAACCATTTTGTACTATATTTTCAATTATTTTGTCAAATATCTTACGGTGCATTTTTCTTCGTTCGACATCTTTTTTTGTTTTGATTTTCTAAATTTCTACTTTGTAAATATTCTTTCGTCATGATAGTGCAATAACAAATATCTTTCTGATGTTATTGTCATATATGATATTTCTTTTTATTATGAGTATAAAACAGCAGATAGATATTCAATAAAAGCCAAATCAAAATTTTATTTTATTTTTCTAGTTCTATCGAAAAGATAGTTTTACATTATTTTTATTTCAACATATCCTTATACTAAATAAGATGTATTTTTATTGTAGATTTATTTTCATACATAAAAATTATTATCATGTCTCAATCAGGTGATAATACATTTAATAATTTGTCAAATAATTCTGAAACACCTGAGAACACTGAACCAAGTGTCGGTGCTGAAATGCTTGAACGATTTTGGCCTGGTATTACTGAAGAAATACAAGCAATGAATATTGTAAGCAAAATAAATGTAATAAAAAGAATTGATTGTGTTAACGTTTAACTTTTGTTTTCTAGATCGAATTTCGTACTGTTGAATTACCATTAGCTCGTATTAAAAAAATAATGAAATTAGATGAAGATGTTAAAATGATTAGTGCTGAAGTGCCTGTATTATTTGCTAAAGCAGCTGAAATATTCATACACGAGTTAACATTACGTGCATGGCTTCATACAGAAGAAAATAAACGACGAACACTTCAAGTAAGAATAGAGAAAAAGTGCAATATTTTGAATTTTAGAATATGTATTGTGTTCATATAGAGAAATGATGTAGCACAAGCCATATCAAAACATGAACAATTTGATTTTTTAATTGATATTGTTCCACGTGAAGAAATTAAAGCAAGTAAAAAACAGGTGAGTTTCGTATAAAAACTATTAAAAAGTTTCATTTTGGATGATTTTTCGTTTCTTTTAAGAAGGATTCGGTTGGTGAAATACAATATTTTGTAACGCTTCCTCAATCGACACAAGCAAGTGCTATACAATTACCAAGTACGTTTAACTTTAAAAGCTTTTGAACTGCTGTCGATGGCTTCATTATTTGTTCAGATGGTCAATTTATTCAAATACCTCAAACAGCTTCATCAAATATCGTCACACTTGGAGTAAGTCGAAAAAATTTGTTTTCATATAGATTGCTACGAGAGAGTATGTCAAATACTCAGTAAAACATAACGATTGCATAATAATAGCGCACATGACAAGTATATTTCTCAGCTTTGCGCCATTGAGCAATTATTTTACGTACACTTTTTGTATCATTGCCTATGTCATGGGAAAGTTATTGACTGAAAGATTTACCGTCATTTTAGAATTCTCCTCAACAATATGCTATTTTGTCCGGTGGCCAATCCCAACCTCAAATAATTCAAGTCGCTTCACAAGGTTTAGATGTAAGTATCTGCATTTGCCAGTACAAAGATAAAACTTGACAGTTTTTAACATTCTTTATATGTAGAATGTACAACAGCAGACAACATCAAATAATAATATTCAATTAGTTACAAATGCCAATAATCAACAATCATTACAGCAACAGTCTCAACAACAAACATCTGCCACTCCGACAGCAACAATCAGAACACAACAACAGTCAGCAGCAAATGTCATTCCAACGACAAGTTCATCTCAACCAACTTCTACACATGTAAGAAACCAAATTTAACTTTAGTATAAAATGAAAAATATAGATATATCTTGTTTCTGTTATTTAGATAACAATAACAGCTGCACAGTTACAACAAATACTAAACGCATCGAGAAATAATAGCAATAATGCACAACTTGTTGTTCAGCAGTCAACTGATACAGCAAACACACCATCGTCAACTTCATCTATCCGTTAATGAAGAAAATCAAGTTGTATGTCGTTCTAAGATTGCTTATAATTGTTTTATATTCTTTCTTTCTATTATCTGAAATCGATGTTGTATTTATCTACTTATTTTTTTTTTTCGTTGCTAGTCGTAGAACTATTAGATATCTGTGTAGAAATGTTTTTCATCAAAAATAACCTAAATCATTTTTTATATTTTTTAAAAACATGAAAAAAACTCCCGAGATAAACCTTGTTCGTTCTCTTTCGAACTGTTTATATTTCATTATTTGAAATATATTGACTTCTTTGTATGTATACAGAGAGATATCTGTTAAACAGCTGCATTTTGGCAGCCACATTGTACATTATATTTGTAATAATAAATTACGAAACAAAAACTTGTTGAATCATGATTAAGTGATTCGATCGTATATATTTTTCATTTTGAATATACACTACTGCTTATATTATGTTTGTTAATATATTTAAAAGATGGATTTATATCATAACTGAACGTGTATCTCATCAGTGAAGAAAAAAATTCAATTAATATAAATATATCTTATGCTGTGGGTGCCCTTGAAACTAGAAATAGTCTGAATGAGACAACATTTTTATCAGCTTTTATTCACGTTCTTGTTCGATAATCTAATATTTAATATTTCTACTGTTTCAGATTATTATGTTATTTACTTTATAATGAATATATTCTATCGGTTACAATCATTGAGAATTTTGTTACCATTTGTGATACGTTCATCCAATCCTAGAAAACAACGATTGAATTTTATACCTCAACTAACAGGTAGACACTGGTGAGTTCAGTTTCTTTGTGTGAATTGATTCCATACTACTGTTAAAATGATGGATGATAAATGCCAAGAACAATTATCTTGATCACTATCAAGAAAATGATATTTTAGGAATTCGATGGCATGGTGAATATGAATATCAAGATCCTAAATCAGAAAAAGAAATAGTTAATATTATTTTTATTAATAAAGAAGGTATACGAATACCTATTCGTGGTAAAATTGGCGATAATCTTCTTTATCTTGGTCACCGTTATGGCGTTGATATTGAAGGTAAAATATTATACTTTCAATTTTAAAATATAATCTCAATGTTGCATTATTTTAGGTGCATGCGAAGCATCATTAGCTTGTTCAACCTGTCATGTTTATGTTAAAGAAGAATATTTAGATGCACTTCCAGAACCAAAAGAAGAGTAAATAAATGTCTATTACTGTTTAAAATGTTTATTGTGATGTTTTATTTTGTTTCATAGAGAAGAAGATCAGCTCGATTTAGCAGCGTTTCTTAAAGACAATTCTAGATTAGGTATTGTTTATGACCATTAAACTTTAATTTAATTTAATTTTTCGTTTTGATTTAAGGCTGTCAGATTATTTTAACTAAAGAATTAGAAGGTGCTGAATTTACACTACCAGCTGCAACGCGAAACTACTATGTTGATGGACATAAGCCGAAACCACATTAATAACGGAAAGAATAATGTGATTAAACTAAAAAACCTCCGGTTGTTGATTATTTTTCTCCGATGATTTGCTTTTGTTCAGTTTTTTCCATTACTTGGAAATTGTATAGAGTTTCTAAATAAAAACTAGAATTTAATAAATTCGGCATTAATCGTTTTTAATAATAAAGATATTTGAACAAAATAGTAGTACTATTTTGCTTCGTAAACATCCTACTATTCCTACTTTTTACTAAAAATGTCCTACGTTGTCCTACTTTCAGAATTTTATCCTACATTGCCTACTTTTTCAGGTTGTCTCCTTTTTCTAGTTAATTTTGCGTAAAAAAATTTAGTCATTCTAGATTTTTACAAATTTTCATTTTATTAGTATATATGACTTCCATGTGTTTGCTTTTGGGATATTTGAGCTCCCTATGCTACTTTCCTCGACAAGAAAAATTATGTGATCTATTGTAAATGCACTTTTTTAGAATCAAAAGATGCAGACTTTAATTCTCTATAAAACTATATATTTAGTTCCAACATTCCTGCAGGCGAGTCCGTCTTTCGTTCATCATGTTTTCACATTTAGAATTTGAAGGAAATGTTCTAGTTAGGGGTGGGACAGTTCCAGTTCTCATTGTTCCTAGTAACTGGTAAAAAGAACTGGTGACCAGTTACCATTCCTAGTAACTGGAACTGGTGACCAGTTACCGTTCCTAGTAACTGGAACTGGTGAC